GGTTGAATCTTTGGGGTCACTCAAGTATACTATCATGTCATCTGCAAATAGGGAAAGCTTGACTTCTTCCTTTCCAATTTGTCTCTTGATGGAGACTCTTAACCTATGACTGAAGCCTCATGTCTTTCCTTTCTCTGGTGCTATTTTAGGTCTGATGGTATTATACTGGGATTTAAGAACATTTTCAACTGACATTAAATAATATATACAGCTGAGGACAGATGTTGATTATACACAAGATATAGCACTGAAGAAGGATCTAATACATCAGATCTTTATACCTTCCCCAAAGTGAGGAAACAAGACTATGGGAACACATTGTTCAGTCTCTCACACACAATTCTGCATTAGCAGCTCACTTTATGGTGTTTTCACATGAGCAATCCCCTACCTATGATTTTCATATGAATTTCATGCGCCCCACATGATCCCTTTCTTCATTCCCTTCATTTCCTCTCTATCTTTTCTACCATTCTTTTTTTTTTTTTTTTTTTTGGTTTTTCGAGACAGGGTTTCTCTGTGTAGCTTTGCGCCTTTCCTGGAACTCACTTGGTAGTCCAGGCTGGCCTCGAACTCACAGAGATCCGCCTGGCTCTGCCTCCCGAGTGCTGGGATTAAAGGCGTGCGCCACCAACGCCCGGCTCTTTTCTACCATTCTTAATGCATCCCCATTCTTCACCGTGCCCACCTACATCCTAACCTCCCTTAGGCATTAAACACCTGAGAAGGAACTCAAGCCCTCCCCCTTTGTGATACAACTCATTTAGCCGTCTTAAAACTTGTCCTTGACCTGCAGATTACTGCAACCTAATATATCCTGTTACTTAGTAAATATTTAAGAGGTAACTTTTCTGGCTCAGGGTATACATAACTCCTTGTGTTTCAAATGAATATTCTAGCAAAGGACATTTTATTGTAAGATTCCTCACCTTTTTCCTGACACATCACCATTTTTTCTCCTTTTTGATTTTCAGCCATTGATAAATAACCAACATCCTGTGTTTGAATTTGCTTGAAAATATTCTGTTAAATAAGCATCAACAATTAGTTACAACATTTTCAAATCACTTTCCAGCAAAATCTGTTTTCTATTTTAAAAATCAATTAAATTTAATTTAAGAGGCAGGGAGAAATTGGAGGGGAAAAATGGGATGTGGATCAGATCCAAACACATTATATGTGAGTACAAACTTTAAATTTTAATTTAAAAATAAAAAAAAATCTAATTTGCCAGATGGTGGTGGCACACGCCTTTAATCCCAGCACTTGGGAGGCAGAGGCAGGCAGATCTCTGTGAGTTCGAGGCCAGCCTGAACTACAGAGTGAGTTCCAGGAAAGGCACTCAGCTACACAGAGAAACCCTGTCTCAAAAAATAAAAAAAAAAAATCTGACTTAAAATAAGTATATATTGAAAAAGTATTATAATAATAATGACTCATCATGTTTTACTTATATAAATTTGTGTATACACACATATACATACACATGTATGTATGTATGTATGTAGATAATAATAATAAAAAATAAAAAGAGGTTATCAATTTGAGAATGGGGAGTCATGGAAGGGGTTTGAGGGAAGGTAGCTGGGAAAAGGAGGATGGAAAATGATGCAATTCCATTTAAGTCAAAAACATATTTCAAAAAATTTTATGTAGCGAGCCATCAAACAAATCTCCTGAACCTGATGATCACATTCACAAAAGTACAGGGGTACAAAACTAATGTTCAAAAATTGTTAACCTTCAAATGGCAAAGATATCAAGAAAGAAATCAGAGAAACAATTCCATTCATAGCAACCTAGTTAAAAAATCTTGGAATTAGTCTAACTAATGAAATGTACAAGTGTACAATGAAAACTTTAAGACATTGAAGAAGATACCAGAAGATGGAACGACCTTTTCGTGCTATTTTTTTTAATTTTGTATTGTTTATCAACTTGACATAAACTAGAGTCACATGAGAAAAAGGAACCTCAATTGAAGAATTGCCACCATCCGACTGACCTTAGGGCATGTCTGTGGGCATTTTCTTGAATAATGACTGATATGGGAGGCCCCAGACCACTATGGGCAGTGACATGGGCAGGAGGCTCTGGCTTCCATAAGAAAGCAAGCTGAATAAGTGAAGGAGAATAACCCAGTTCCCCCATGGTTTCTGCTTCATTTCCTACCTCTAGGTTCCTACTCTAACTCCTGCTTCAGCTCCCCTTGATGATTAACTCTAATCTGTTAGGCATAATAAACTGGTTCCTCCATGGTTGCTTTCAGTCATGGTTTTTATCAAAGTAACAACAACAACAAAAAGAAAAAAACTTGAACATCTCATATTCTAAAATATATACACAAATGTGTGTGTATTTGTGGGAGGGGATACGTGTGTTCAGTTGGAGCTACCCTACACAGGGCACTATGCTTATCCCAGAAGCCATACGTTGTCCAATTTCCCAGGGCCTGAGTGTGGGATACCTCATCTCAAGTTGTTGCTCTGATATGTCCCTGGGAAGCCCTCCCCAAAACAGTAGAGATTATTCCTATTGCTCTTGGTTGACCATCATAACTTGATGATAAGACCCTATTGCTGAAGACACTGCACACTATAACATTGGTTATAGAATGTGGATAAATCAAGTTGGGACTGACCAAAAAACTTCCTCCGTGCTGGTTAGCTCTCATAGTATTGGAAGTTTGCAATATAAGTAGCTGAAGAATAATATCATCAACAGTCTTACCCAATTGTGAACCCTGTGAACTGCAATAATGATCATCATAGAAAGATAGGCCTATGTTTGTAGTAGTGGTATGAATGTTACGGAGGTAACCAACCACTTTCTTGTTTGATTTAAAGCCTGCTCCACAGGAAGAAACATATGCCTGGTACTGTGCCTCTGGCTAAAAATCCATAATTGATGGATGATCTCACAGGCCCCAAGGGTATACCTGCAACTTTTATCTTACTAAGGGGACATAATATTAAATTGTCCTCTCAGTTTACATCTCTCTACCTGCAGATCTTAGACCTCAACAGATATTTGTGTTCATGTGGCAGATTATAATTAGCACAGACTCAAAACTGGCCAAAGAACAAAGAGTAAGTGACTGTGGAGAGCTCAGTCACAAATGCAATATCTATATCACACCTCTTCCCCACAATTCAGAGATCATTATAGGAGAGGGGACAGAAAGATTGTAAGGGTCATGGGTTGGAGAGGAACAGAGCAAAATAGTGTCTTCAGGATGTGACAAAATAGCTATACTTAAGAACTTAAAGCATCTATAATTGCCTGCACAAGGTCATCACAAGATCAAACCATTTGGTATTCTAGAAGGAAATGGGAATGAGTACATGAATCTTCTCCCCTAACTGAAGAGTTAAGGACAGCTAATGGCTTTTCAGAAAGGAAGAATCAGTTTTCTTTAAGGGTGTGGCTCTGGTAGGTAGAACACACTCCATGATAGGAAAGGATCATGGGGGACAGAATAGATAAGGAGGTATAGAGACTGGGATAGCAGGAGACGGGAGCTACAATGGGGAAAATAGAGGGCAAGTGTTTTGACTTGGGGTGGAGTAAGAAGTGTATTACAAGGAGAGAGGGAAGGTGGAGAGATAAATAACACTAAGGATGTCTGAAAGGGGCATAAGACAACTTATTTTATGAGCTTACATATATTCATATACATTAGATAGATAGATAAATAGATACATACATACATACTCAAGTAATAAGTATATGACAACTCCTGTTCTCTTCTACATGTCCTTCTATATTCAGAAATATCTTCTCTGAGCTCTTATTTCTGTTCACACTATCATCCCAATCATAAATTTGAGTAAAGCACAGCAATCTTTTCCCACCTCTGTCTCTTCAGGGTACCCTACCAGAGTGTGCCATCACATCTGAATACATGAAATTCTCTATCTTGACATCAAATATGTTCATGAAGAAGTTGTGTTTACTGATTCTATTTTCACTTTGTCATAATTTTGTAGAAGTTAGTGTTTACTGATTCTATTTTCACTTTGTCATAATTTTGTATGTTGAGTGCCTGATTACTTAGTTCTTAGCTGATACTTAGTAATTTACATTATTCAAAGTCATGCAAGTAATATGACTACTGTGAGACCTGAAACACTAATATATTCAAATAGCATATGTTTTTCAATAGTTTTCTCCAAACTAGACTTCTAGATACTGACATGAACTCATAACAGTTTGCACTAAATTCAGTCCTGATACATTCTGGTATTCAGTAAAGTCACTGGGTAACATTTTAATATAGTTTCTGACTCCCTTTATTGAAATATGATGAGTTCGAAGGTTATTGTTTGGAGCATAGCACCCCTGGCCCTGATGGAAGGTACTTTGTCTTTATAGGAAGTGGGACTAATTGTGTATACCTGTGATATCTCCCACACCAGAGATGCTAGGAACCAAAATGTGTAAGTGAAACTTATGCATTGATAGTACTGACTGGTCATAGGAAACCTCAATTTTTAACTAATGGCCCTTTCTAATGCATCAAATTGTGGGGTGGTCCCCTTGAAATCATTCAAACTTTAAAGTGATTAGTTTTAAGTCTCAAATTTGATCTATTCTTTAAATAGGTAAGTAGGCTATAAAAATGGAAAACAATAGTAAAAATAAAATTTTTCAGATACATCCAAGAATCAAGGTTATATGTTAAGTTTATATTGTAAAAACATTCTTATTTCATAACTAAGTAAATGGTGTTGAAATTAAACATTAAGTCATGATCTATTGATTCTGAGGGACTCATTTTACATTATTTTACCATGAGAAACATCAATATGTAATTCAAATTTAAATACTTAAATACCAGTGGCGGATTCTTTTCAAAGTCATCATGACTATTTGGTTCTTCCTCTGATGTCAATTTTACAGCTGGTCCTTCTGGCAAGTCCACATATGTGATTAAAATAAACCAGGAAAACATTTAAATAACATGATAACAATTGTTCCATATACAGAAAAATTAAACATTAGTAATAACACCAACTGGGCTTTTGATTTTCCAGTTATAATCTTCAAACAGGTTTACTCAACAGGATAACTACTGACTTATTTAACTATCAAAAGCCTCTGTGCATTAGTTAGACAGCAGCCAAGTGTATCATGTACACAACATACACACATCTCAAAGAGTCAGTAACAATCACTCCATTAAACACCAATGAACGCACCTTTGAAAGCAAATAGAAAAAGATATATGGATTTACAGTATTTGCAGTATTACAACATTTACAGTAAACCACACACTTTTCTGTATTGAGTCACATGTCATAATCTATTGTCCATTTTCCTCTCTGACTACTCATTCTGTGTAATTACAGAACTTGAAATTTACATTGGTAAAACTGACTGGTTATAGACAAGATCATTGTGTAGTTACTCTAATGTATAGTTAATGTAACTTAGAGCTGAAACACTACGTCCACTTCCTACAGGCTGGCTTCCTTCTCTAAACGCTCAGTGTCACCAGGCTGTCTTTCTTCATTACGGTTCTCTTTGCCTCGATGACCACACTTGCTTTCCATGGCACTCCCCTTGGTGCTTTTGCTCATCTTCCCTTTGTATCTTTGTCATTTCCATTGGAAATTGTTTCTTTATTGGTCTATTCATTTTGCTTCTGGACTACATTGGTGGTCTTGTACATTATTTTTGCCTAAATTCCAATAATCACTATACTGAACAATTCATTATCGTGATCCTGAGGACTGTAAATTAAAAGAGCTGAGTAGATTTTTTTTTTTACATAATGCCTGATCTCACAGGTAAAGAATGATTTATGCAGATACTGGGACATCAAACAGCAAGAGCATGGTATACTGGAACAACAAAGAAGTACCAAATGGAGTATGTGCCGGTGTAGCAATATGGTGACAGGAATAGCACCATCATCACTATAAAACCAGACAAGTGAGTAGACCAAAAAAATGGCTCAATGTAGAGATTTGGATGGAAGTTAATTATGAAAACATTCGTAATTATAAGGGGCTTGTGTATGCATTCTGGCCCACCCCTTGGGGACCTGCCCAGCATCCTCATGTCATCTTATCTGAAGTCCTCTTTAAGAGAAACCCCCTCCCCCTTTTCCTTCTTTCTCTCTTTCTCTCTCTCTCTCTCTCTCTCTATATATATATATGTATATATATATACATACACACCTCTCTCTATCTCTCTCTTCTCTCTATTCCCTCTCTCCTCCCCCTTTAATAATAAAACTTTCCACATGGATGCTGCATCTGCATGGTGTGAGTAACTTTCCACCACACCATGCCACTGTGCACCACATCTTCATGGCATCTTTGGGGAACCTTGGCTCAAATCTGCCAAAGCCTCCTGTGGGCCGTTTTACAAAAGCTTGATCATTGGCATTTTTAAATTGGTCTGTGTTATCATGTGATGTGGGCATGGAGCATTATAAATGTGGCAAAGATGCCAATATAAGGGAGCCTTGAGTAAGTGGATAGAAATTATTTAGTAGAAGGCAACAGTGCAAATTTAAATTGAAGCAGCCCCAAATGGAGTAGAAATTTCCAGACAATTTTGAGTTATAAATGATCAGTGCCTGGTAAAGAACAAATTTGATTAAGTGCATAAATTTACAAGTATTGTTCCATGGGGAGTTAGATGTTACTCATTGCTTGACAAAGGGTATGAATTGAGATATAAAATGATCAGTCTATGGTGTGTTAACATGGTTTTGTTCACTTTGTCCTTTTCATAGCACATCTTTTGCTACTGAAGGAACCCATGATCAGGTTGAGACATGAAAGCAGAAAGAACTACTCAAGGTGCTTCTCCAAACCAGTCCCTTCAGCGTGTTAATGTCTTCTGTAAAATCTATGTCACAGTAACATTGTGTTGTTTAGGACAAATGCTGCTGTCTCATCTAATCTTGGGGGTGGGGATAGGAGTGAGAAATCTGTGGGGATTTCAGATATTTAGAGTCTGTCTTTCCAGAGTAGCTGGCTAGAAGTCAGTACTTACCCACGTGCATTATCTGTGCTTCCTTCATCTCTACTGCCTCATGGAGAACAGAATCATTCATTTCATTGAGAGCCTGAAAGGGGTTTGAAGGAACAATGGAACAATAATTGCATCATATTTCATTTAGGGTGACGTAAATTTTCCAAAGTGAAAACATAAAGGCTATTACCATCAAGGGTGGATACTCCTTCGCAGATTCTAAAAGAGCCAAAGAGATAATCAACGTTATGTAAATAAATCGATCAACCTCAAGTCGTGCAGAATTAGATTGGAACTCAGCCCCCCCTGGCTACCTTTGTAAAGAATGACTTTACATTTGGGCTTTTCAGGTTTGACATTTGCTTATTTTGCTTGTGTGTCTAGTTGGGATCATAACATGAAACAAAAATCCAGTTTTAATGAAACTTGCTCAGATTTTCAAAATAAGATTATTATTTAATAAACATAGCAAAAATACAAAAGGCACATATAACAATATGAATATGCTAATAAATAAGAGGGAAAGGGATTCCCAATCGAAGAAGCAAATCATAACCCTGAGTTCTTATCAACTGTTAAAGCTGTTGTAGAATGGAACAGTTTATAACTTAAAAGACTTCTGAGGCATTCTTGTTGGGTTTTTGTTTTGTTCTGTTTTGTTTTGTCAAAACAAACCAGAGTCACCTGGAAAGAGGGAACCTAAATTGCTGAATTGCCTCCATAAGAATACCCTTGAGGAAAGTGGAGGGACTTTGATCTGCCTCTACTGAATGTACCAGGCTCTGCTGACTCTCAATGAGAGGCCTTACCTTCTTATAGGAGGGAATGGGGGGTAGGTTGGGGGTGAGGCTGGAGGGACAGGAGGAGGGAAGAGGGGGATCTGTGATTGGTATGTAAAGTGAATAAAAAATTGTTAATTAAAAAAAGAATGGCCTGTGGACATATCTGTTGTGCATTTCCTTAATTGGTGTAAAAAGTCCTAACCCACTGTGGACAGTGCTACACCTGGGCAGATTATCCTGGGTTAAATAATAAAGCAAGCTGAACACATCATGAGGAGCAAACCAGTGAGCAGCATGGTTTCTCCATGGTTCCTGCTTCCATTCCTGCTTCCAGGTGGTTAATACTGCCTCCTGATTCCAATAATGTGTGCAGGAACACAACAGTATAATATGGTTTGAATGAGAATACACTGATAGCATCGAAAGTGAGTTCTTTGGAGTCTCCTCAGTGTGAACTTTCATGCCTTCTAGGCAATTTCTCTCTTATCTAGACAATCTTTCTTTGTAACAAGCTACTATTTCAATTTTGTACTAGTTTATGGATTATTATGACCACTTCTTTCATCTTTTTTTAGCAAGAATATCTAATAACTAAAGAATTGTATTTTGTAACCATAGGGAAGCCCACAGACTTGGTATCCTAAGAATCACATAGAATTACTTATTTTCCATACGTATTTGTTTATTTATTTCTGGATATGAACAAATTCAAAAGTAAGGGCAAAATGCACACCTTGTTTTGGGCCCATTATGCTTTCTACAATAATTATCTCTACAGATTTAATCAAAGTCCATCCTCACTCCTCATCATACACCATGACTTCCTGGAGCATCTACACAAACTGAGAATTCATCACAAATAAAGAACATCATTTATGGTTTACAGAGTTTATCCTTAACAAGGCCAAAGTAGATGATTCACCAAAGTCTGAGATGTGGTGGTCAACACAGTTTTATTCCAAATGCTGATTCATATCTACTTGGAATCTGCTCAAAGAATCTATGCTGTCAGAACCCAAACTGAGATTATATAAGCAGTCATAAACTTTATAATGGACTTTTAATCTAATCCCATGAGTTTCTTACTTCCAGTTCTTTAATTTTCACTTACAGAGCACTGCCTGCTGAAGTGGTGATGCTCACAAATAGACAAAAATATGTACATTTACCGTGGATCGATTGTTACAGCTATATTGTTCTTTGGTAATAAGATGTAGATTTGAAAAAGCAAGTATTTAAATCCTTAATGGGTTCTCACCAATGAAGAACACAGGAAGAGTGGGGACACTTTGTTCTAGTTTCACACAGTCTTGGGATCTAGGCGCTCAAGTCACATTTTCCTCACAAGTCAAATACATTACTTTTCTTTGCCACACAATTTTTTTTTTTGGTTTTTTCGAGACACAATCTTTTTAATTTTCTCAATTTAATTATTAACTTAGCACAACCTAGAATTACTTGGGAGGGTAATCTCAATGTAAAAATTATCTACATTATGTTGGCCTTCGTGCCTGTAGGCAGTTATCATCATTATGTTAATTAAGGTGTAAAGCACCACCATTGTGAGCAACACCATTCTCTAGGCAGGGGAAACTGGGCTGTTTATGTGAAGAAGGGAACTGAGCACTAGAATGTACGTATTCCTTTTTCATTCCTGACTGTGGTCCTAATGTGAGCAGCTAGCTCCTGATAGGCTGCCTTCCCTTCTAGGATGAACTAGACCTGGCACTTTGAGTTAAAATAAACTCCACCCCCCTTATTTTATTTCGTTCAGAGTACTTTATCACAGTAATCAGAGAAAAACTAGGACACCAGTCCTTTAGTTAATATACCTGACATACTTTACTTACTCCTTATTGTCACTTTTTCTCATTCTTCATTCCCATGTTTCTCACCTCTTTATAACTTATTAGCATGTCATTGGTATTAGGACACCTAGAAATAAAACTCACAATTCATCTTCCTTAGTGATACTCTTAAACTGTCAGTAAAACTTGATAATGGATTATCAGTTTTCCTTATTCCGCATTTATGGATGATTTTCTTTGGTTAGTAGCCTACTTCAGCCTCCTATCATAAATTAGCATCACACCAAATGACTTTCCCACAAAATGTGCTTCCTACCTGTTGCTTGTCTGTTTGTCTTTTCTCTTCTTGAATCTGCTGCCACGGATATATTGCCAGATATGTTTGGAAGCTCTCCAGAGATTCTCTGTTATAATAAGTAGAGATCATGAATTGTGCAACATCCTCCCAATCAATTTCATGAAGGTGCTAAATTTTGTATTTTAAAATTACATAGAGTTGAATATAAAAGAAGCACGTACTAAAAACTAAAATATTTGGAAATAAAAACCTCATACGTGCTCTTCAGATCCATTCTAACTTTTATCTTCATGTGATCATTGACTATGTAAGCTACAGGGAAGACCAAAAGAACATACAAGTAGATAGTAGAAGATGATTCATATATTTTAGTCAGGAATTTACTTTTGCATATTAAAATCTACTTTGCATTCCCCACAAAACTTAGAGAATTTTTTCACAAAAAATAGGTACTTAAACAACTTCTCATAAATGCACTTGACGTAAAACAACATTGAATATCCAGGGTACTTAAAAGGGCAGCAGGTGTTTTAGAATCAGATGCAAGATGTGTCGCAAACTACTGTTGGCACAATCAGAACTGGACAGAATTTGAAGTTTCTTCACTTAAATAAGGGATAAGTCTGTATTTTGTTGTTGTTGTTGCTGCTGCTGCTGCTGCTGTTGTTGTTGTTAAAATCACTTACTGATTGTAGAAAAATGGTTTAATCAATGACAAATTGGGGAGCAGAGGCAAGACAACACATTGGAAGCCACAACCAGGAGACAGGAAGGGAGGAAGTAATGAAAAAGCTACTAGTAGAGAAATGAGCCAAGTCTAGAAAACAGAAATAAAACTAGCCAAGACTTTCTTTACAACGAAACCCAAATGCACACCAACTACAGCAATATGCTCATGTTGATGTGGGTCTCACCAAAGGAAGTATATCCCAAAACTCTGATCATCCATCACCACAAAATTCAGACAGCAAGACAGTTCACATTGTTAGAAACCTAAACTGAAGGTGGAAATTCAGCCCTCACAGAGGGGAGGGTGGAATGAAACCAATCAATGAAGATAAGGTACAGCTACAAAATGGAATTGAATTCAGCCACAGAGAAAAGAAAGCCAAGATGTTGGTGAGAAAATAGATTTATTTGGAAGTTATTATGTTAAGTGAGGGGACCAATACTCAAAAGTCAAATGGCAGATATGCTTTCATAAGTAAATCCTAGCTTCTAATTTTTAGACCTGAGTATTCTGTGGGGGTCGAGGCAAAGTTTACGAAACTAGGAAGAGGACCATGAGATTAGGGGGGAAAGACTTTAAAGAAAGGAAGTGGGAAAGGTAATAGGATAATAAGAAATGAAAAAGGGGGGACCACTGAGGATGGGAGGGTGTGATCTGAGGTGAGAGTGGGTGAGAGGAGGAAGATCAGCCTAAATATGTATGAAAACACCATAATGAAACCTCTTACTTTGCATGCTAATTTAAAAATATTTAAATAACAAGTTAACAAAAAAAAACTTTCTGTGGTATGGCTGAATAATGTTACACCAATATTACATATCAGTATACAATCTTTTTTAATGAAGGAGAACTCCCGGCACAATGACGTTGAGTTTTGAAGTGACTGTACTGCACAAGTCACTTAGTTGCACATTTCTATTATATGCAGATACATATTACAAGAGTAAAGTGATTATTGTGAAGATTATCCCATGCCCTGCTTCCTTGTCATGCAGGGTAAGAGCCAGCTAAAGAGAAGCTGTCATACACGCTCCTCCTGCCCAGGTGGTCATCTTGATTGGATTTCACTCGGTTGGTATGTCTCTATCCTTTCATTAGAAGTTACTTCTCACTCCAAAACACTTCTCTAAATTTAAAATTGCACCACTACCCACAGTCCCATCCTAACAACAAACTCCTTCAATGCTGTGTCAACTGTTATTTTTTTTTTCATATAACCCACATACAGTGATTTAAAAGTACTTGATGAGTATTGTTTAGCTATTCTCACTAGAAAATGGGACATTTGGTGTTTAAATATCTAGCTAGTACTTCATTGACCCTCAATAACAAAAACTATTTGGTATTGTCTTAGTTAGGGTTTCCATTGCTGTGAAGAAACCAAAGCAACCTGGGGAGGAAAGAGTTTATTTGGCTTCCACCACTGTTTATCATCAAAAGAAGTCAAGACAGGAATTCAGAACAGTACATGAACCTGGAGGTAGAAGCTGGTGCAGAGGCCATGGAGGAGTGCTGCTTACTAGCTTGCTCATGGTGGCTTGCTCAGCCTGCTTTCTTATAGACCCCAGGACCATCAGCCCAGGGATGGCACCACCCACAGTGGCCTGGAATGTGAGTGGTGCCATCCCTGCTTCCATCAGTCACTAATTAAGAAAATGCCTTGCAGTCAGATCTTATGAAAGTATTTTTCTCAATTGAGGTTTCCTCCTTTCAGATAACTCTGGCTCCTGTCAACTTGACATAAAAATTAGGTAGCACAGTTCTCAATACTTAAAAAGTTTTCAGTAATGCCTCAAGCACTATTCATATTTCTGTTACAGGTTGTTCTTCAAAAAATTCGGAATATATTTAATATTATCTCATCTAAATAAATTCTGCATTAAGTTGTTCAAATATGTTCTAAAGTCTACTAGAGAGAACAGATCACATTTTTTATATTTACTGATTTGATTTCCTTCATGCTGGACTCATCACTACTACCTTGTTAGTACTTACACATGCACAAACTTAAGACTAAAAAATGGTCATGGGTTTTCTCAAATAAAAATGATATACAGACAGTATTTGTTAAAATATCTTGCTCCTAAGGTTAATAAACACAGGGAAAAAGAATGTTTATCTAAGAATAAATGTTAATCATATGTTCCATAAGATGATAAAATATTCTTTAAGACTTTAAGACTAAGTATTAAATTGTAAGCCATCAATTCTTGGTTGTCTAAACTGTGATTTCCTTTGGTCCATGCAACATTCTTCTTTTTATTTTCCCATGACAGGGTTTCTCTGTGTAATGGGACTGGCTGACCTTGAACTCACTCTGTAGACCAGGCTTTACTCTATAGAACTTACTGAGATCCACCTGCCTCTACCTCTCAAGTAATAGGATTAAAGGAATGTACCACCACTTCCTGGCTTCATGCAACACCCTTGAACAACAAAGTGTAGCTTGATTTTTTCGCCTCGCCCACAGTCAGGACAAATCTTTGTCACCCGCCAGTCCCACAGCCGCTCAGACCCAACCAAATAAACACAGACACTTATATTGCTTGCAAACTGTATGGCCGTGGCAGGCCTCTTGCCAACTGTCCTTATCTTGCTAACTGTGCTTTTATCTTAAATTGATCCATTTCCATACATCTATACCTTGCCATGTGGCTGGTGGCTTACTGGCGTCTTCACATGCTGCTGGTCATGGCAGCGGCTGCAGTGTCTCTGGTCATGGCGGCGGCTGCAGCCTCTCTGGTCATTGCGGCGGCTGCAGCGTCTCCTTCTGCCTTTCTGTCCTTTTATCCTGCCTAGCCACGGCCGATCAGGTTTTATTTATTAACCAATCAGAGCAACTTGACATACAGACCATCCCCCAGCACAGCCAAGTGCAGACCATCTCAAACACCTGCACTTAGGCCCATGGTCCTAATCATCCTCTATACGGACCTGCTGGGTAACGCCACAAAGAACCTGAGAATGGGCTCCCACAGGACCTACAGAACATCCCACAGCAACAAAGATTTTTATACCAGAAACTATAATTGATATTTACATACCAATGAGTGGATATTTCTCCTGTCATCAAATCTATTGTGATCTTCCTCTGGTGTCGCTTCTAAGTCAGGCTCTACTAATAAATATATTTAGTTAAACAAACTATTAATACATTATACATAAAACAATAGTCTTTATAGAAATAGATGGAGGTATCTTAAAATTTGGTTCATAAGAATTGCATTTTAGATTTTCCCAATTAATTTGTATCCAGCTTAACAGTTAGCCAAATATTCAGTTCCTAAAGTGTTGCTTCCAGTCACCACCAGGATTTGGATCAGTGCTAGAGTTTGACAGATTCTAGATGTAAAAAGCATTTTTGAGATTCATCCACACATTCAACCACTCAACATAACTAAGCAAACCCTCAGAAGTGAAACTTTAAAAAAATCACAGAAATGAACAAATGCATGCGAGTACACTCTTCTTTGTTTCTTACTATTAACTTTTAAATAAGCCACTAATTATTTTCTAAACAAAATTTCCATCACCCTTCACACCTTTCTCTTTGCCACCTTATGTTCAACTTATTTCTGTCCACTATTGTAACTATTTTGTTTCATCTTTTAATACTTGGTTCATCATATAAAGTATTGAGTTCTGACTTTTCCTACATAAATAGATAATTCTTTCCTTGGGTCTGTCTGAGTATTTTATTGACTTTTTCAACGTTATCTTTACCATTAGACCTGCAAATTATTTATTTACATGTTTATTCCTTTTTATCTACCCTTGAGGAAACAATCATTTAAGTCATTGCAGTGTAAGCAGGCTCTATTTCATTTAGTAAAATAACTGTTTATTGTATTCTTATTAGGTGCTGGCACTGTATAGAAAAGAATGTAAATAATGGGTATGTGGATAGCTTTTTCTAAACATGCCTGCTTGATACTTAAAATATGAGGTTATTCAGACATCAGTTAAAGAAAATGCAAGTACATGAAAGGAAGTAACAAGAGGGAGTACCATGTTTAGTAGGGATCTACCTAAAAGCAGATTGTTAGAAAAGATACCACCAGCAGTCTAATAAATTCACAGGAAATGGAATACTGGAGGATATGCTAATGATACAGTGTTGGACACAAGACATGAAAGCCTTCTCTGGAATTTTAAGAAGGTTAGACATTTTCATTTCAAAATGAAATGCTAACGTTTCCAATGCAGACGAATCATCAAGTTGGTTGGAGAATGAATGTGCACACTATGTGCGTAAGTGGAGGTAGATGTTTTATAAAAAGTTAGTGGAGCAAAATAAACACTATCCAGACCATAACTGATGGGATAAATATAGGAATATTTAGGTTATAAATTTATCAGTGTCTGCTGCAACCAAATTTTATTAAATGAATTAATGTATAAGTAGGTTTGCATCCTTGGAGAAATAGACTGGTCATTTGAGAAAACTATAAAGTAAGTTTTGTTTAAGTTGCTCATGTTTGCCATTTTTCTGGTGCACATCTTACTAGGAGGATAAGGGGACCAGGTTGATGTTTTGTTTTGAATGAACTGATTCTTTAATCTACTAAACCCATCAAGCAATAATATCATAGTAGGGTATTGGCTTCTGGGTAAATTACGTGAATAGCATCTATGAAGCAATTGTATGTGATGTTGCATGTAGAGGTGGGTACTACTACAGAGCAACTGAAGTCTATAAAATGCAGTCTTGAGGTTAGGAGGGAAAAAAGCAAGGCATATGTGATGTCATATCACATTGTGTAATTTATTGTGATAGACCTGATTCCACAATAGATTAATAGAATGGAAATAACAAATATGCAACTTAAAACACATATAGATGTACATAATCAATAGACTGCCCAATTATAATAAAAATGAACATTATTAATAGGTGTAATTTAATGTTGTGTTACTTGAAATTGTGTATTAAAGGGATGCTTTTTTTTTTTCAGATTGCTGGGTAAGTGAATCAGAAGGCAAACAACAATTCACTCAGCCACCCAACTACTATTTTAGACCTAGAGAAAAACCTTAGGTTTTCACAACTACTCTCTAGAAATCCCTAATTGTTGTATGGTATTAAATCAAGCAAAGCTTATGGAACAGTACATGAAAGAAGAAACATCTGGTTTAAAGCACACACTTTCAACACAATTTTCTATCCCTGAAATGCCTTTATTTTCTTATCTACACCAGCAATGAATGACCCTGAAGTATTTAGCTCAACATAATGGTTAAATTTATCAGGATTTTTTTGTTCTTCTCTCATACAATACATTCTGACTGCAGTTTCCCCTCCCTCCACTCCTCCCAGGCCTCCACCTACCTCCTGTCTCCTCAAGATCTATTGCTCTTCCATTTCCCTTCAGAAAAGAGCAGGCCTCCCTGGGATATCAACCAAATATGGCCTAACAAGTTACAATCAGACTAGGCACAAACCCACCTGGATATTTTTTCAAAGTGGGAATGAGAAACCTGTAAGCACTTGGAAAATCTTAAAAATGTTTCCTTCTAGGGTAATATTATTGCATAGTTCACCTGGTTTGAAGGCTGATGCATTCTTTGTTGTCCACGCTTCTCTGAAAACAGTATCGTTCATTTCAACTGGAGTCTGGGTGGGTATTTGAAACAGGACACTTAATAAATATTGCATGCTTCACCCAGTGGTGAGGCTCATCAGCCAAGATAAAGTACAGTAGTGATTACCATCAATTGAGCATGTTCCTCATCAGACTCTAAAATGGCAAATGAACATCAGTCAGTCTAAGTAAATATCATGAAGTCATCCACATATAGTCACACAGAGTTGTGATCAAATTGAGTCCTCACATTTGCCTTTAGTAACAATTACTGTAGTTTTGGGGTTTGTGCAACTTTTGGATTGTTCTCTTATTTTCTGATTGAGGCAGCTATGTTAAAGAAATATCATGAATAAAAATAAGAAAGGAGCTTTTAACAAATATTTTCAAAGGAAATTGTGACTCTAATGACTGTACCAGAAGCAGACTAGGCACATGTGCCAATGTAGTGAGTGTGTTGATTGATGCAGAGAAAAATGACCTCTAACCAGAGGAGCAAAACATGACTCTGAGGATGTTTAACTGTCAAAGATGTTGGTTGAGTGAGGCATCATATATTTCACTAAAACACTGTCAACAGATTAAATCATTAAGGATAAGATTGGTGCCTTCTTCAATTTGTGCCAAAAATTAGGAATAACACACAAGTGGTAACTTCTCCAAAAAAGTTCTCTGAACTCCTTAGGAAATTAGTAATCCTGTGCTTTTTTTTCCCAATTCTATTATTTTGTCATATGTGTGTGTGTGTGTGTGTGTGTGTGTGTGTGTGTGTGTGTGTGACATATATACATAATTAGCCCCACGAAGGTGCAGTACATTACATGACATCAAGCTTTTATATGTATGTCTGACCATACATAATTTTATTTATCTATGGTACACAGAGAGTACCTTTTCTTGATGGAGTACTTAATGACTTCAGTGATAAAAAAAAATCAAGTATAGGGACATTTCATTCCACTTCTTCAACATATTTAGATACAGGAAGCTCAGTTTATGTTTTCATAACATTTATAATTCCATACTTTAAAGTATTCTCATAACTCCCACTCTCCCTTGTGTATAATGCCTTCTTTCCCACCATTCACTCCCTATAATCACTACTTTTCTTGTTCTGAATTCTCCTTCTATCCTTTCCTTAATATCAGAATTCCTCAGGTGCTAGAATGCCCTGTCACAGAATTCATAGTCCAGATCTTTCAGTGATGCCATCAGTTTAGCATATTGCTAAAATTTGAAGTTATTCAACTTGTTTTTTGAGTTTCTTATTTCTTACTAGATACCTATAATATTTTTAGTATTGTGTGGCAGCCACCTGTTTTGAATAAATAAGTCATCACAGAGTAGTTTTTTAAATAAAATTCTATTCCTACCTTTCATTTGTCCATTCATATTAATTTTTCCCATTTGATATCCTGCACCACATAAATGGCCAGCATTCATCTGTGGAAGATCCTCCAAGATACTCTGTTACAATAAGTATTAATAAGTTACATAAATATCTCCTAGCAACCTTCTAAGAAGATATCTGATTTTCCACCTTCAAAAGCAATTAAACTAGAAAATAAGAGTAAGTTGTACAGGCAGTAAAACACTTGACAAGGATGTTGTATATGTTGTTTTATATCAATTTAATCCTTTTCTGTTATATGGTTTGCTGACTATGTAAACAGATTAGGGAAGGCCAGAAGAGAAAAATACATGTACACAATAATGGCTGGTCTGCATATTTTAGAAAGGATTAACTTCTAAATACCTAACTCTACTTTGCATACCCACAAAAAGGAGAATTCTCAAAAAGACATATTTAGACAAATTTCATTGAAAAATAAAAACACTTGCTGTAGTACAACATTTAACATTTAGACTACTTCTCCAATGATAGAAATTGTCTTAGAGGCAGAAGAAGATCTTTTCCATAAAAAGAATTCCTAGCTTGTCATGTTGGGTATCAACAAAACACTGAAGAAGTTGCTTGGTATGGGTAAACATTTAAATCATACATGTTTTTATATAAAATGTTTACTGGTTTAAAAAATGCTTAAATAAGTGGTAAGTTGGAAAATTTCTGTTTATGTTGTATTTAAATAACAGCATGAAAATATTAGATATAATATGCAACTCTTTCATAATGAAGAAATTCCAAAAAGTGTAGCAAGTCTTAGTAAGAACAGGATCATAAGCCTGGGTGTGCTTGTATGTCCATATACATGTATATACATATGCATAAATATGACAACAAAAATTAAAGAAGAGGCAGGAATATGAGAGGAAGTATGAGGGGGCACAGGAGGAGCAGGATGGGGTAGAAGGAGAGGTGGGATTGATATAAATGTTATAAATTCATGTAAGAAGTTCTAACAACAATTTGAAACTTAAGTTTAAAAAGGAACATTTCTTTACTTGCAGATGATGTGATTCTGTGCCTAAAAGAACCCAAAGACTCCATAAGAAAAACTCCTGCAACTGATAAATACATTCTGCAAAGACACAGAATATAAAATTAAAATATACAAAAACAAACAGTCTTCCTATACATGACAAACAGAGAAAGATATAAAGAAAATTATATAAATTTGAAAAACAGCAAGGAGGGGATATATGGGAGGGCTTGAAGGAAGTAAAGGGAGGGGGAATTATATAATAATAACTTAAAATTAAAAAATCAGGAAAATTATGCCATTCACAACAGCATATGTGTGTGTGAATCAGTTTAACTGATGAAGTAAAAGATTTGTACAATGAAAACTTCAAATTACTGAAAAATAAATTGAAGAAGATATCAAAAGATGGAAGACCTTCCATGCTCATAGAAGTGGTAGGATTAATGTTGTAAAAAATGACCATCTTACAAAAAGCAATCTACAGATTGAACACAAGCTCTGTGTGTATTCCAACACAATTATTCAGAAAAATTGAAAAGTAATTTTAAATTTCATATGGAAATACAAGACTCAGGATAGACAAAACAATCTTGAACAATAAATAATGGGAGATCACATCGTCCCAGATTTTAAGCTCTACCTCAAAACTATAATAATAAAAACAGCATAATACTGGAATAAAACTCACTCATTCACCAATGGACTAGAACTAAGGGCCAACACACAAGCTCACACTCCTACAATCACATGATTTTTATCAAAGAGCTCAACAATGCTATTGGAAAAAAGGCAGCATTCTCAGCAAATGCTGCTGGTTAAACTGAATGAATACATGTAGAAGAATGAAACTCAACCCTTATCTCTCATCCTGCACAAACAAAAACTTCAAAATAAGACCTGATATCCTGAAAAAGGTCATCTGAAAGCCTAATAGTGTAAAAGCTACCAGATGTATGGATAGATTTGTTTATTGATAGATAATGGTTATAAAAAAATGATAGGTACATAGATAGAAGATAGATAGATAGATAGATAGATAGATAGATAGATAGATAGATAGATAGATAGATAGATAGATAGTCAGTCAGATTTTTCTTTAGGCCACCAGCTCACAAATAATGACATGGAGACTTATTAATTATGAAAGCTTGTCCTTAGATTAGGTTTATTTTTAACTCACTCTTATAACTTAACTCATTTCTATTCATCTACATTCTGCCACATACTGCCATCCTACTTCCCCTCGTGTCTCCTTGTGTCCCTCTCACTCATCTAGATTCCTCCTCTTCCTCCTTTCTCTCTCTGCCTGGAAGTCCCACCTGTATCTCCTGCCTAGCTATTGGCTGTTCAGCTTTTTATTACACCAATCACAGCACTACATCTTCACACAGTGTACAACTATCCCACAACACAGATAGATAGATAAAAGATAGATATAAGCCTGTAACAAGGCAACAATACCCCTACTAGATTCCATAAAATAAAAAACCCAATACCAGAAATTGGTTATTTCTTTTGTAGTTGTTGGACAGTAAGGCCACATAGATGCTGAACAATACAGGCATGCTGTTGATTACCTTCCAAAACTTGAAAGTAAGACCCTACCTACTACTGAAGACACCATATACTTGAGTGATAGAATATAAAGAAATTAAGCTCGTGCTGAACCAGAAACTTGATCCATACTAGCTAGTTTTCATTACTCTGAAAGATGCTAAGCATGCTAATGAAGAAAAAAATTATCAATTACCCAACTGTGAACCCTACAAGCTACAATAATGGCTGGCCTGCCAATGCATGCCCAATATAATTATGGCACAAACATTATAAAAGTAGCCAACCACTTCCTGCTTGAATTTAAGTCCTGCTCACAACAATAAAACAATATCTGGAACTATTATCAGGTGAAGAACCCATGGTTAGACAAACCACAGGTCCTAGAAAAAGGCTACTATTACTATGCTGCTAAATGGACACAGGAACTAAACTGACTTCTAATGACTTGTTGACATACTAATAGACCAATGCATCTCTTAACCCTCATTCAAGATACTTCTACTTATGGTAAATGATGATTAACACAGAGATTTACAATGGACCAAATTACAGACACCGCAAAATGCTCATCCATAAATAGAGTATGCATGCCATACTTCTCCTTCCAAGGTTCAAGGAACATTACCGAAGTGGTGGCTGACTACAAGGAAACAATGTCTTCTGGGCACCATGGGGCAGTTGCACTTATGAACTCCAGCCCCTAAAAGGCTGTGTAAGCCTAATCCAAACATAATCCCAGCATGGAGAGGAAAACTGGGCACAGAACTCCACCCCTAGCCATAGAGCTATAAAGCAGTTGTTAGATGCTAGAAGAGGAAGGGTCTGTTTTCTTCAAGTGTAGCTCCTGGAAAGTCTACCACAACCCAATGGATGACCACACATCCAAGCATCTCTGGGTAGCATACTGTATTTGTTGTGTATTTTTTAAGGACTATCCGCAGAATACAGTAAATAGTTGTGAAAGCTCAGATAAAGATGATTTCTTGGGGGTCTAGAAAATGTGCAGAGAAACTGGGCTGGGGGGTGACAGGTGGCTGTGTACTTCTCATGGTAAAGGCTTTTATTTAAAATGAAGATGCATCAATTCCTAAGTACTGGAGGTAAGTTTTACACTGCACAGTTACTAAGAGAATTTGAGAATAGAGGAATATAAAATAATGAAACTTTTCTTGCTTTTCTACAGTTATTGACAACTGAAAAGTAATCAGACTTATTTGGCCTGGGAAGGAGAGTCTCCAATCCTTTTCTCTAGCTTCCTACAAGTTATCCTAGCATGAAGAAACTTCAACTGCATTTTCTTCAAGAAAAAAAAGTTTCAAAATAAATGGCCAACATAATCTGAATTTGTTTAAAAAAAAATTTAATGTATGGTTTTCTAGCTTGAACATAGCTTAAAACTCTTGTGTGTTTCCAGATAACCTCAATGCACACATGGCTGCTGTGGGACAATGGTTTACTAGTGACTAAAAATGTCATTTCTACAGTGATATAAATATAAGATGCTTTATAATACATACCCATCTATTTGTGCCTAGGCAACTGCTCCAAACTATTTTGAACCTGGCTTTCAGTTCTTCTTCCTTCTCTATTGAATGTAATTAACCTATGGTTAAGGGGAGTGAAGGGTCACATAAAGTTAGGTGGGTAGGGAATTGGGATGGATCTGGAAGGGGTTGGATGAATGTGATCAAAGCACATTGTGCAAAATCCTCAAACAACAAGTAAATTTCTTTCAAGGTTAGCTATAAATTATTATGGAGTTTAAAAGCATTCTAAAGTTTTGTTTTATTTTTGTTTCAAGGATTTCTCTGTATAGCCCTGACTGGCCTGGAACTTGCTATGTTAAATTTTATAACACGGGAAAAAGTTTTAAACATTAAATATTTAGTTATGATCTATTGATTCTATTAAGTAATCTAAACATATGACTTCATGGAGCTAATGCCACACTACTAAACAAAAGGAGACAATATTATGTGATATTTAAAATGAAATATTTTCATACCAGTGGCTGATTATTTTCACTTCCATTGGATGTATCTTCTTCTACTGACATCAATTCCAACTCTGGTTCTGTTGGCAAATACATTTATCTAATTAAATTGCATAGAATTCATATAAAGCAATAGTCTGTATGATAAAAGGACTGTTTTCATGACTTAAAAAATAACATTATATTGTTACTTCCCGAGTAAGAATTTCAATTAAGCTGAGCGGTCATGGTGCATGCCTTTAATCCCAGCACTCGGGAGGCAGAGGCAGGCGGATCTCTATGAGTTCGAGGCCAGCCTGGTCTCCAAAGCCAGTTCCAGGAAAGGCGCAAATCTACACAGAGAAACCCTGTCTCAAAAAAAAAAAAAGAAAAAAAAAGAATTTCAAGTAAGTATATATTGAGCTGTATGTTTCTAGTTGTCTAAAGCAGTGGTTCTCAACATGAGGGTTATATATCTGATATCCTGCACATCAGATATTTACTCATAAGCATCAGAGGGTGTTGTACATCATAAAGATTTTCACATAAATTCATCCATGAATAAAGCCTCCAGAAACAAATTTCCAAAGACCCTAGCAATGAATAAACTCATAATGTGCATTAATTTTATCTTATAATGTTATATCTTAAACAAGCTGCTAAGCATTCTGATCACAAAAAAAAAAATAGCTAAGTCATACATTTTTGTTTATGATCACACGGTTTCCAACATGTGAAAATGTTTTCACCGACCATCAGACAGACTTCTTCTCCCAAGGCTCAGACTAATGCATGGTGTCTTCCCTGGTTATAGCTTTCCTTTCCTTGCTTCAGTACTTTGGTGACTTTCACAACTGTCAATCATTCTTCCCATGTCTCTCCCTCCCACCCCTGCCCTAGAGCTGTCAATCTTTTCCAACACCCGTGTAGAGTTAGTTTTTCTAATTTGACTCAGTAACTGTTTCTGCATCCTGATAGTAAATGGCATGAGGTTTTGGAGAATGCAAATAAAATGTTAGGCCTGGATTTTTCTTGAGTTAATGGGTGGTTTGACAATTAAGAGGTGAGGTGGGACAGATACAGGACTTTTCAGGGGGAAAAAAATAAAGAAAAAAGTAAGTGCAACCAGGACAGTTTCATAAGTATCTTTGCTTTGAAACCTAAAGTCAATTATGTAACATTGTAATTAGTGATTTGTGTTTACAGATAGGATATGTGACTGAATAACTGAACTAATCTCACAGATATAAAAAAGAAAAGAAAAAAACACTTTAGATCCAGACAGCAAATGCACTGGATCCCCCTAGTAGAAATAAAATTGCTTTTCTTGATTCTTAGGTGACAATATACTGCTTTGTGCACATACTAGTCCAAAACCTCCTAAGCAAAATGAATGTCTCTCAATTACCTGAGATTACAGGCATGCAGCATAGAACCCAGTTTTCCAAGCAGCATTTTTTAAACTGTGGAGAAATCTCCTTATGACAGAGGTCCCACACTGGAAGTTTGGGACATTGAAATACAAAATTGGAAGCACCTCACTGAACTTACATTTAAAAGATTTCATCTCACGCTCATGAATGCTCTTTTAAAAACATGGGGGCTAATATAACATTTGCATTTATAACATATCATACCATCAACTTGGGGGAAAACAGAATTATTATGGCGAATTCTGCAAGCATTTCATATACTCTATTTCTATCCAAAATGATTCACTTTACAAAATGTACCTGATGTGGATGGTAGCAGCTCTATTATTTCTACCACTTCATTTGGAACAGTTTCTCTCACTTCAGTGGCAGACTAAATAGGTTTTAAAGCAAAAACACTTAAATGTTAGATATGTCATGTAAGATATATTTAATAATTCATGATAAGAATAAAAAGCTTATTACCTTTAAGGACAAATCTTTCTCAACCCATGCTAAAAAGCAAAGGGAAATATGATCATTTCTATGCTGATACAACACCAATCATATGCTCATAAAGAATTAGGGCAGATCTAAATTCTCATTCTTAGTTTTCCAAGTATTACTCTACATTTTGAATATTTGGAGGATTTTTATAGATCTGAGCAGCAACACTGAAATCTGATAAGCAAACATATACCCATGAGGGTCAAGAGGCGGCTCAGTGGTTAAAATCACTCCCTACTCTTCCAGAGGACCCAAGTGCAGATCCTAGCACCCACATTGGCTAGCTCACAATTGCCTGTGTCTTCAGCTTCAGGGGATCAAATGCTGTCTTCTGGCCCCTGCTGGCACCCTTATACACATGGTAGACATTCACACAGACATACAGATGTGAACAAAAATTTTAAAATGAGCAAAACAGACTCAGGAATAATCTGTGCAAAATATAATAAAAATAGCAATTTCAGTATGACACAAATGAACCTATAATGTTTATCATTTCTCATATTAGAATGGTGTGATAGTGTGTGTTAACTTTTTGAAGGACAGTTAATGTACATTAAATAAGACACATTCAAATGTCACATGTTTTATCTCCTGTGCTGCATCCAGACTTTATATATATATATATATATATATATATATATATATATATATATATATATATATATATATATATATGGTATAAAAGTAGAGATGGTATTATTCTCAGAGAACACCAAGAAAAAGGGTAGGGCAGGACAAGAGATTTTAATGGAGAAAAATGTGAACAAAGTAAAGATGTATTATGAAAATGCCATGATTAAATAAATTCTCTTATCTCTGAATTAAAAATAATTATAGGGGCTAGAGAGATAGTTCTGTGGTTAAGAGTACTGGCTGCTCATGCAGGGGACCTGAGTTCAGTTCCCAGCACCCACGTGGTATCTTACAACCATCTATAACTCCAGTTCGAGGGAATTCAGAGCCCTTTTCTGGCCTCCATTGGTACTTTTACTCACACACATACACACATACACATAAACAAATAGTATACTAAATCTTTAAAAAATAAATAAGTAAAAATAAAAATAATTTTAAATTTTGAATAACATATTCTTCTACATTCAATTATGTATTATTATTGATAACTGTTATCAATTCAACATACATCTTCAGTGCCTGATAATTATGGAGAGGTGAATGAGTGACTGCGGTTTACTACATTTTAGCATCCCTTCAAGCCAACACTTTTCACAGGCGCAGCAATGACCTCATCTTTGGTTTGAATACACATGTATTGAAGTTATCCGAATGAAGTTCACTTAAGTTCCTTAATTAATTCCAGTGTTGTCTGGAATTCTTGCTCTTTCGCTTCTCATTTTCCTTTTTTTTTGGGGGGGGGGGGGCTCTGTGTGTGTGTCTGTCTGTCTGTCTGTCTGTCTGAGAGGGGCCTTCATGTATCCCAAGCCAGCTTTGACCTCACTATGTAGCAGATAATAACCTTAAACTTCTGGCCCCCCTGCCTCCATGTCTGTGCTCTAATAAGAGGCCTGTGCCCAGTTTAGGAGGTGCTGGGGACACAGGACACAGGACCCTGCCCATCAGGCAAGCCCTCTGCTGACTGAACCACATCCCCAGTCCTCCCTCATCTTTTCTGTTTTTTAACTTTTTATTGATTCTTTGTGGATTTCACATCACGCATCTCGGTCCTGCTCATCTCCCTATCCCTCCCCATCCGCCCTCTACCCTTGCAACCTCCTGCCACCAGGATAAAACAAAATAAAATTTATAAGAAAAGAAAAGAGAGGGGAAAAAAAGAAAAGAGAAATCTCATCGTGGAAGCTGTGGTGTGACACAGTGAGTCACAGTAAACCCTTTCGTCCATACATCATTACTTCAAGTGCCCAAGTGCCTCCCTCTTCTTTAAAAATGAACATCCACATCTCCGGTCTTCATACTTCCCATTTTTCATTCTATCTGTGGATTATTCTTATCATGCATTTCCCATTTAACAGTGTCATTTTAGGACTATGATTTCGGTCTCTTCCTGTGTTTGTTTCTTCTACATTTTCTATAAACACGACTAGAAACGAAAGCACATTCATTCTCTGTCTTGACTTCATTGCATCGCTGTTCATTACCCAATAGCCTTTTGTCTGTGTTTTGCTACAAAGTGGTACGATACTGCTATTGGGAGGGTGACTGACCCATGGTGACTAAGAACTAGCTGCAATCGCAGTCCCTGATGCCTGGAACCACGTATGTTTAGCAGCTGCCACGTGTTTCCGTAAAGTGCAGGAAACCCCAGCTTCCATGAAGTCAGCTTCCACATCCCTTTACAGTAACTGGTACATTTGAACCCAGCCTGCAGTTCCTCCCTACCATGCCTGGCAATGGCCTGGCTGAGCTTCTTGTAACTGGGCCCTCGCATCCCTTCCCAACTTTGATTTTGTCCTATGCAATACTCTCTAGTAAAACAGTAACATTTCCCATAGCATTGTATTCTACATACGTATGACGGCTCACATCATCTTATATTCATCCATGTGCATCAGGCCCACCTCCTCATGGTCGGGTACATAGATTATTGATGTCTTTCCAGCAGGGAAGGATACAGACAGAGCGGGGAGAAGTTTTCCCATTTCCCAAACCAGTTCTGTTACTAGAAAACCATTTTATCGACTTTTTCTCACGTTTCTGATACCCTGTCCTTTTTTTCTAAAGAATCACTTTCTCTTCCCACAGTCCGATTACACATTTGCTCTCCCTGCCCTTTCATTCTTCGCTCCCTGTCTTCATTCCCTTCCCCTTATGCACGTGTGGCCCTTGATTGTAAGCCTATCTGGAAATGGTTATCCTAATTTAGCGTGGTGTCTTGAAGCGGTGTTCTCAGTTTACTGTACTTCAGAAAGTTGAGATGAAGCACAGCTTATTGGCGGTTCTGTTGTTACTGCCCATTAGGGGCAGGAAATGTATTTGATTATTAGATTACCAATGTTCATGCTACAAATGACATCCTCCAAGATGACACTTTGCCAAAGGAGAGAGCATACCTTCCACTTTTCTTTTGGCCGTATGTTCAAATATTTTGGCTGTAGCCACAGACGAATTGTCAGCACCGTTCAGAGGAGCACTCTCAGAGGTACTCTGTTAAAATTAGTTACATAAAATGTCCTTAGTCGCTTTAAGATATGTGAATTGATTGGTTTTTTAAGCAATTAAAAAAGAAAAATATGTTTAAAATCTCAGTGTTTCAGTACCAAACCTTATACAGGCCTCTCTAGACCAAGCCCGTCTTTATGGCTTTTTGTGGCAGCCTTTATAGGTATATTAACTCTGCAAACCAAACATGGCAATTTATAGGAAAAATATTCATGGGCAAGATACTGACACGTGTGCATATTTGCAAAGAGGAACTACAATTATAGCACCTAACTCTTAGAGTCCACATCGGAAACAATGGGGCATTTTAAAGGTGTGCATATGTAAACACATTCTTATAAATATGATCGATCTATTAAAGCAGTAGACATTGAAGTATTTCAGATGACTGAAATTATTTCAGTGTTAAGGTACTTGGCTTGGGACCTGTAACATGGTTCAGCGGGGAGAGGTATCTGTTAGGAAGGCTGACACCTGAGTTTGAGCCCGAGAATCCACACATGGTGGAAAGAGGGAAATGACTCCACAAAGTTGACCTTCAACCTCCACATACTCACTGGATGCATGTACATCTGCATGTCCGCGCACACGCACACGCGCACACATACATACACAAACATACACACACACACACACACACGCCACAAACAATAATAAATAAATACAATTAGAAGGCATCTGGCTTGAAAAGCTATTTCTGTGTGTATTAGTTTGTATAAAAACAGAGGAATTTAGAAACTGGGTCGTTTGGGGAAAGGTTTCCTCAACAATTTTATTTGTTTAGGTGACTTAGAAGTGTTGTTGCTTATTTTTCTATCCTAAAACCATGGCATAACCCCTCATCTGCAACAGCACGTGCTGGACACCTAACCACAAAAATGACTGAAGGTTAGAATATTTAAAAATTAATCAGAAAGTGCCAAGTTGGTATCTTCCTATAGGATATATTCATAAATGAGTTACTGAGGTTTGCTATAAGCATGTGCCTCTTGTAACTGAAATCTAGTATAATCTTGACACTACTACCATTTAATTGTCCTCAGGTAAAAGAAAATGTCTTTAGTACTTAGGTCTGGAATGAGAACAGGGTTGTTTTCTTGTGTGGTAGCATACTTTATATTTCATAAAAGGTTTTTCCATTTCCTATGTGTATTCATGAGATACACGAAAATGTTGCGTATTTTCTACTCTCATAAAGTCACAGTGCTATTCTTGATATTGCTGCATGTTTTCCTGCATTAGGTTTTCCTAAGATACTAAATGACAGGACCAGGATTCTAATGGGTCCTCTACCTTTACCTACTGTGCTCACATCACTGTACAACTCTTCTTACATTTAAAACATCAGGCCCAGGACTAAAGAGATGGCTCAGGGGCTAAGAGTACTGGCTGCTCTTGCAAAGGACCTGGATTCAATTCCCAGTATCCATACAGTGCCTCACAGCCACCTGTAACTCCTATTCTGGGTGATCTGATGCCCTCTTCTGACCTCCACAGGGATCATGCAGATACATGGTGAACAGAAAACATCTATACAATAAAAATAAATAAAGGTATAAATTTTAAAAAATAAAATATTGGATCCTTTTCAGCTCTTTCTTTAGTGGCATCTTTATGTTTTCATTATTTGTGTTTATTGCTGCAAGAATGTATGTATGCCATAAAAGTACCCAACACATTGAATTCTTCAGTTGATTTCTCCTTAGTTGACCATCAAAAACAAAACTGAATTTCTAGTCTCCAAATTTATAACATGTCATGCTTTTCCTTTCCCTGATCCATCTATGAAAGCTTATACCTGGCAATCCAGATGTAATAATAATTTCACAAACTATATTTTTCTTCTTCCTTAGATATATTATAAATATGTAGTTTTTATTTTTAAAATGTTGTACTGATAAAACAAGAACTCTAAGTATCGCGAGCAGATACATTTCTAAAAATAATTCTGAAATGTGTAAAATATTAGGCTATCCAGTGACCTCTCCTGGCCAGGTGTTTGAGTCCCCCAGGTAGCATTGCCCTCCACCTGCCCTCTGACCCCAGCTCCTTTCACTTGTAGACCTGATTCTTAATCTGAATGCATCCCAGAGCTGAAGAGTTTTAGACTATCTATAGCCAATCCTTTTTAAACAATTCAAAAAATAGGGAAAAAGTACTCCCAACTCCTTCTATGAATCCCGACAAAGACACAATAAAAAATCAGAGTGATATCCCCAATGAACAGAGACTCAAAAATCCTCGAGAAAATACTTGTAAACAGAATATAGACATACATCAAAAACATTTCCACCATGACCAACTTGGCTTTATACCTAAAATATGGGGATGGTTCAATATGAACAAATCAACAAGTGTAAAAACCACATAAAAGGGACTTAAAGACAAACATTACAAGATCATCTCAATAGATGCAGGAAAACCCTTTGATAATATAGGGACCAAACCTTAACATCATAAAAGCTCTATATGAGAAACCCACAGTCAACACCAGATTAAATGGAGAAAAGCTTGAAACAATCCCACTAAAGTCAGGAACAAGACAGCCCACTATCCCAACTCTTTCCCAATATTGTGTTCAAAGCACTAGTGAGAGCATTAAGGAAAAGAAGGAAATTAAAAAGATACAAATATGTGGGATGATTTATCCCTAACAGACCTCAAGGCCAGTCAGCCCAAACAAGTAAAAAAGATACTTTCTGAGAGCCAACCTGGGTCTGCCTAAGGGCCTTAGCAACAGCAGCTGAAACATGATCTAGAGATGACCTGGACCAATGAGAGGCAGCCATGTCACACCAGCAGATGCATATTCATCAGACCTCCCCCCTCCTGTGGTGGGGGATGGTGGAAGGTATATAAGGCTTGCCACTTCCTGAATAAACTGAGCTTGTTGTTCCAACATTCTCCCAGAGCCTGTGTCATTGACTCTGCACCTACTTGGCTCCCTTCCCCCAAAGGGAACAACAACAGCACAGAACCCTGCTACATAAATAGTATTTTTTTTCAAAGTCAAACTATGTCTAGTTGCAGATAACACAATATTACACATTTAGAGATCCCAAAATTTCTACCAGAAAACATTCAGAAACAATAAACAAATTCAGCAATGTGGCAGAATACATAAGCAATTTGCACACATTAATAGCTTTTCTATACAACAACAAGTATACAGAGAAAGAGATAAATGGACACAGTCACATTAGCCTCAAAGAAAATAAAATGTCTAGGAAAAAACCTAATCAAGAAAGTATAGGACCAATGAAACTTTTAAACCTGTCTCACCTGGGCTAACAGTGTCCCTTCCAAGATCCAAAGACCAACTAACAATACCCCAATGTCAGGCATAAGATGCCCTTTTTTGAGTTGTTGGTCAGGACTTTCCAAAAGACTCTCAAAACTTATAGTCTACTGTTATTGCCCTTGTTTACCCCAAGAAATAGAAAGTAAGTCCCTATCCTAAAAACACCATGCACTTCAGAAACAGGGACCAGAGACTCCTGAGCTAGAACTGACCTGAAAGCCCCCTCTCTGAAGACTAGCTTTCAAGGTACCAGAAGTGGCCATGCCAGTTTCCAAAGGAGGAAGGAAACCAAGAATCCTACCTAGTTATGATACCTATAAACCACATCAATGACCAACATGGCATGATAACCCTAAGTGTGCAGTAGTGGCACACGTACCCTGGTTACAACCAACAGCTCTTTAATTGGACATGAGACCAGAGGGACACTCAACCAGAGGGATGCCAATGCTAGTGCTGGAAACCTAGCTAGTGCTGGTGAAGTCATGATTATTGGAGGAGAGTTTACATCCATTAATTTATTAAACCCACATAATCCGTAACAACAATTGTACAAGCTAGTTTTATGTCAACCTGACAAAGTTAGAGTCATCAGAGGAGGGAACCTCAATTAAGAAAAATGTCTCCATAAGATCAGGCTGTAGGGCATATTCTTAATTAGTGATTTATGGGAGAGGACCCATCCTATTGTGGGTCCTCTGGACTGGTAGTCCTGGGTTCTGTAAGAAAGCAAAGCTGAGCAAGCCATGGGAAGCAAGCTAGTAAGCAGCACCTCTCCATAGACTCAAATAGGGTCAAGTTCAATAGAGTCAGTTCTCTCCTGTCACCTTGTGGGATCCGGGAATCAAACTCAGCTCATCAGATCAGAACAATGATCTATCTTTCCAGCCCATACTTCTATTTTCATTACAGGCAGACATTGCTAGGAAAAGACATGCCAATGACACTCCAGAAGCAAGCAATTTCTACACTTTTAAAAGAATTCCACAGTTAATATTCTAATTTTATTAATGTGCACATATTAAGAATATTGTTGAGGGCTGAATGTGTTTCTCAGTGGGAAAACATCTGCCCACTGTATATAAGATGCTGTGTTTGAGCTCCAACACTGAAGAAAAGAAAGTGTTCCAAGCAAAAATACAACAGAAGATTTTGTAAGAGGTGTATGTGTCCAGGCATGCTGTTGCCTGTAACACTGGTGTTGCCTTTTGTGAGTATCATATAATAAATATTTTATAACTGAAAAATAAAGTATCTAATAGATATACAACTATTTACCACTAACTGAAAAACAAGCTAAAAGAAGTACAGTAAATTAAACTATCTCTCAATTTTCTACTTGGAGAAAGAACTGATGATCATAATTCTAAGATGGCTTTAGAAGGATATTTTTAAGTGGCTGACTTTTTTTAAGTCTCATCTAGAAACCTTATCTAAGCCTATTATTGGAAACCCTTAGCCCGTTTTTCCTGTTTATGCCATCTCTGACTTCTCCTCTAATGACACAGCTCCTCTGGGTAACTCTCCTAACCACCCATAGCCTGAAGACTGAAAAAAGAATTAATTACTAGATGCATCACACATATACCATTACGTACAATATTGCATGATAGAAATCCATGTATCAATGTGGTGGTATTGTGTTCCCCAAAATATTGTGTACTCTAATAAATTTATCTGGGGTCAGAGAACAGACAGCCACTAGATACAAAGGCTAGAAAATGGTGGCACTCACACCTTTAATCCTATCATTCCAGAGACAGAAATCCCTCTGGATCTCTGTGAGTTCAAGGCCACATTGGAAATAGCCAAGCATGGTGACACACGCCTTTAATCCCAGAAAGCCAGCCTTTAATCCCAGGGAGTGGTGGTAGAAAGCAGAAAGATATATAAGGCGTGAGGACCAGAAACTAGAAGCTTTTGGCTGGTTAAGCTTTTTGGCTGGTTAAGCATTCAGGCTTTTGAGCAGTAATTCAGCTGAGACCCATTCCGGATGAGGACTCAGAGGCCTCCAGTCTGAGGAGACAAGACCAGATGAGGATCCGGCGAGGTGAGATAGCTGTGCCTTGTTCTGTCTCTCTGATCTACCAGCATGGACCCCAATAACTCGCCTCAGGTTTGATTTTATTAATAAGAACTTTTAAGATTCCTGCTACATATCTATTCAATTATTAATGTTCAAATATAATCACAATCATCTAATTTGTAAAATATGATTCAAGATGTACCAGGGTATACCCAAACAGGTTGTCTAACTTCCATTGTGAGTTTTAAGCAAATAAGTAAATAGGTCCAAAGCATCTAAAACTTGAAATTGGAGAGCATTTTAATGTTTGGTACTGGAAAACCAACCAACTACACAGGGCTTTTATAGATATAGATCTTGGAGGAGAATCCACAGCCACCACTTCACTAAACCAGCCTAATCCCTAACTACACTCTAAATATTTGTCCTTATACCCAGAGACAAGATAGGTGTCGTTCTCACCTATCTTGTCCCACGTAAATGTAAGTATAATTTAAAAGTCACAGTAAGTTACATTTATCCAAATAATCATTGACCAAATTTCAAATACCCTCTATTATTGAAAGCCTACTGCTAGTATAATTTCTCTTGGGCTCTGTATTTTCACCCCACTTCACCACAACCTCAAAATAGTTACTAGCCCTTTTTGTTGTTTACCAGTTGACAATTGTTTTCAGCTACTCATAATCTTGTTTCTGCTTACTAACTTTCCACGTGCTGAAACGGCATCCAGACCACTACTAAACCTTAAGAGTAAAACGAAAGCAAACCTAGGGCAAGGAAGTTAACTCCACAGAAGAGCAGTCTACCTTGGTATCACAGTTGTATTCGTCTTCCTTCGTGGCAGGCAAGGGGCTTCCAGGACTAGGACAGCTGGAAATCCTACAGAGCAAAGTATGCAGTAAAGACAGGTGAGCACAATTCTGGAAAATCTTGTACAAATCCAGCTGTTTGGATATGAAATGAGGCTTCTTAGTTTGTGTAAATATGATTTGACCTTACTTTATCAAAGCTTTCACTTATCTTGACTTGTCTCTTCCAACTTATGAATTACCCAGTGAAGGCTGACCTTATGCTCCATATAAAATAGTAATGGCCCGAGAAAAGGGTGTCCTCACAAATTGCCTTTAATGAATGTGGAACTGAAAAATTAACTAATGGCTCATTTCTTTGGTGCTAAAATAGCTGAAATGAACCTGATAGCCTTAAATAGGAGAGAAGAGGCATCACCCTTCTCCATGTCTTCCCCTGGGTTGAAGAACACTAAGACCAAGCTCTGTAAGAGGTGGCAAGTGTGGTTTCTCAGCTTGGAAAACAACCACTTCAAAGAAGCCATTCATCCTCTTCAGCTCAAAACATCAAAGAGAGTCTCTTGGAACATTTTAAGTCTTTTAAAGATATACAAAAATCAAACAAAAAATTAAGTGTTTGTGGTTAGTGAAATGACCTTCCCAAAAATATTAAAGATTTTAAAATTTTAAATTTCAATTATTTTTGAGGTCTTTGATACACTTGAGCTTGAGTTTTGCGCAGGGTGATAAGTAGGGGTCTATTTGCATTCTTCTACATGTAGATATCCAATTAGACCAGCACCATTTGTTGAAGATTCTTTCTTTTTTTTTTTTTCCATTATGTATTTCTGGTTCCTTAATTGAAAATCAGGTGTCTATAGGTCTGTGGATTTATGTCCAGGTCTTCAATTCCATTCCTTTGTTTGTTTACATGTCAATGCCATGCAGCTTTTTATTACTATAGCTCTGTAATACAGCTTGAAATTAGGTATGGTGATACTTCCAGAAGTTCTTTTATTATTCAGGATTGGTTTAGTTATCCTGTTTTGGTTTTTTTTCCCTATATGAACTTGAGGGTTGTTCTTTCAAAGTCTGTAAAGAACTGTATTGGGATTTTGATAGGATTGCGTTGAATCTGTAGATTGCTTTTGTTCGGATGGCCATTTTTACTATGTTGATCCTACTGATCCATGAGCATGGGAGATCTTCCCTCTGATACCTTCTTTGATTTCTTTCTTCAAAGACTTGAAGTTATTATCATACAATTCTTTTGCTTTGTTGGTTAGAGATACCCCAAGATACTTTCCTCTCCTCTTGCAATTTTTCAGGTTTACACAAACTATGGAGCACTTAAAAACTTTCAGAAGTGCCCAGACATTCAAGGGGAAAGACTTGTGTAAAACTAGTCTCCTGTTAATTACACCTGTCCCTCCAAGTGATCTAGAAATATTTCCTTTCAGTGACCACCACCTCCACTTCTGCAGAGCTCAATGATGATCTCCAAAATTAAGATCTCCAGCAAAGGAAAATCTTAAGTAAAGATGTGTTCAAAATACCAAGCTAAATAGAGCTTCAATTATTCACACAACCATTTTACTATCTGATTACAGTGCCAGGGGATCCTAAAACTTTGCTAACCCATCATGCAGGTAGGAAGTCTGTTCAGCAAAGCTGGAGGTAAATACCTGCCTCAGCCACAGGGACACTTTGTTCCTCAATTCTATCCCCTGGTGCTTGACAGACTTTAAGGCACCTCTTGTAAATTGAGGTGATGTGAATAGCATCATATTCCTAGGTGCTATAGAGACTCTCCCCAACATCTCAAATTATCTTAATGATTTTCAACAGAAATGTTGATTTTTTTCAGTTCCTACAATTCAAGAAACATGCAGCTTCTTTATCAAGACTGTCATAAATTCCAATTTCAATATGCCTCTATATAAGCTTTCAATATCCTGTTCTCCTTAAGCCCTGTCTTATTCTTATCAAATTTGTCAAAAATGCCTGTATTCTAGTCTTTTCTCTAAAACCTGAATCCTACTGAACCCAGTATCCTTTTCTCTATATGTGTTGTCTATCTTTAACACCATTCTTGTCCTCCACCAACTTTCTTTTATTCTTCTCCTGTGCCCATGGAATTACTGAGCTCAGTTCCCGGTCCTTTTATTAAAATACCCATCTACTGAATCAAACATAAGGATGACAGTTAGCCTTAATATTAAGACACATGAGCTTAAATGTCATCAGCACCATTTTTTCCATCCAGAAAAGTCACATTAATATCCTTTGAGTTAAGTTCTCCATCTTGATGAAGTACAAGAGTATAGTTTGATTAGTTCTTTGATTCCTTAAAATTCTGAAATTTCTTATTCTTTAATCTTCTCTGTAGAAAAACAGAATATTTAGTTGATAGAAATTTTATAAACAGAAGCAAAAGAACAAGAAGGAAAACAGAAAAGTTGATTTACAGAGAAAAGTTAGTATCACCAAAAAAAAAAAAAACAAGAGAACAAGAGTAGGTAAAATAAAGATGTCATTGAACTAAGTATGTATAGAAGCTTAAACAAGAAACAAAAATGAAAAATCGGTAAGTAGAAAAATTAATTTCCAATTATCCTCTAAAAGGGTATTAAATATAATTTGTATCACAAGCTCTGCATACAGATATTCTTCATTTGAAAAAAGCAAATACTCTCCTGGCATGTTCCTGTGGCTCAAAGTACATGCAAGCAAGGTATGCCAGACAACTGTTGCTACTCAAGACAGGGTACTACTGGCTGACATTGCAATTATCAAAATTTTAGATAAATTGTTGTGATATATCTGCACTTCTCAAGAAAATCCTAAAGGAGTTCATATATAAATTTGACTTTTGCTGTTCATTGACGTAGACCTTATCTAGATCTCAGAGCTACACAGGTCCTTGACAACCTGTGAATAAGCTAGAGAATGAATGGGGAAGCCAAGCAAGATGACAGTCACATCATGGATGTGGGATTCTCAGCTATTACTGCCTACTTGGTGAAGAATAGTTACAATAGCATGTACTTTGAATGTCTATTATGAGAATTATAATAAACAATAGCATTTTAAATATAAAGCATGGTGTCTCCCAGAGTAGACTGCTGAACAAATATTTGTTTCTCATCTGTCCAATACTTAGATAACATGCAGATTTTATCAACATGTAAAACTTACCCGGCTAATGAGTCATTTCCAGAATCCGTTTGTTCTACTCAAGAAAAATATAAAATTCATTTTAAACAGATGGAAGAAAAATATCAAATATTAAAAATCTATGACTTAGAAGCTTTGCTAGAAAACATCCTTTTGGAAACTTATCATGGGAATCTTCTACAGTAGATATGAATTATATTGCTGATGGAGCAATCAATGGATTAAGACCCTTTCTGTTGTTTGCATTTATGGGACACAAAGAGGAAGAAAAATATGTGTGAAATTTATGATAAGTACAATGTTGTGTACAATGGCCATAATCCAAATAAACTACCATGAGACTAACCTGAAATGTTATCATCATATTACAAATTGGTAGTGTCAAGCAAACTGCCTGATTGATGTATCTGGACTAACACCATAAGGAAGAATAATAAGGGAATATAGTCTATGATCATACCACCTTGAACACTCCCAATCTCATCTAATAAGAGAATGTGTTTAGCTTGTTCTAACAGAATAGAGATTTTCCAAGTAACCAGTTGAGTTTTTCAGCTTGGGATGAATATACTATCCCAAGGACACTTACCTATAGACAGTGCACCCTGCAAGGGAAAGGTTCAAAACAAAAAAGCAGACCAGGTACAGGGGCTTGGCAAAGACTTTCCACATGCTAATGAGAAGTTCAAGAGTTGCCTGTGTGCTGCTTGTTTTAGCTAACCCTTTTTTTTTTTCACTTTCCTTTTTATTTATTCCTTGTGTCTTTCACATCATGCATCTCCATCCGATTCATGTGCATGCTGAGCATGCCCTACAGGACAGCGGAGCAGGTGTACAGCCACGCCTCAGAGCGCAGGGTCCAGGTTTTTGAGGCCATCAAGGTGGCCGTCACTTCCAAGTAAGCAGAGATATGTTGCAGACCAGCTAGGTCATATCAACATCATGAAGAAATGGTCCTAAACTCAAAGCCACCAACTTTTATGTTTGTCTGTCCTTACCTAGTCCTAGAGCTGAAAAAAAAAAATGTAACTTATATAACAGTGTGACATCTTCAACAAGAATCTTATTAAAACAAACATGATTAATAAATACATATGGCTTTATTATGTGTAAATTATTTGTTATCATAACTTCTGATGATGAGGGGGGAAAGCTGGAGGTAAAGCTAACTATATAGCACTTACCTAAAATGGAGGTTGTCTTGGGTTCAATTCCTATCCACAAAAACAAAGATACTGATTGTTTTTGTTTCTTTCTCTTCTCTCTCTCTCTCTCTCTCTCTCTCTCTCTCTCTCTCTCTCTCTCTCTCTCTCTCTCTTTCTGCCTCTGGGTGTATGTGTCTTCCTCAATGACTCTGTACCTTATTTTTTGAGACAAGATCACACTTCCAATTGTAACTTTTGTGTAATTAATATCTGAGATCATTCTGATCTGTAGACTATTCAGTCAAAAAGAAGTTAAACAAATATAAATGCAATTTTCCACTCTTTTTGAAATGAAATGAAAACTTTCTGTTTGACATTGTTGTGTATGGTAGGTCTGCAAAGAGCGACTCATCATAGGTCTTACCTGGTTCATTATCTTTTTTGTTATTATGCATGTTTTCTTCAAAATCCATAAGCACCTGTCTACTGTCATGTGAAAAATAATAAATACAATTATTATTTTAATACTTTTTTAAAAAAACATTTTAGCATACTTAATTCTTAAGAACATTCCAGGGGTTAGGGGTGTAGCTCCATTGGCAGAGTATTTGCCAAGCATGCACTAAGCCTTGGGTTTCATCTCTAGCATCACATCTACCAGACATAGTGGCACACACCTGTAATCACAGTATGTGGGAGGTGGAGGCAGAAAGATCAAGAGGTCCAAAGTCATCCTCAGACACACAGCAAGCCCAAGGCCACATGAGGCACATGAGACCCTGTCTCTAAATAGAGCCTATTACTGAAAATAGTAGAGGCAGTACTAGAAGTTTTTACTGTGTGTTTGAAATGTATGGGCTCTAAATCTTATAATTAAGCCTATAACAAAAGAATAAAAACTGAAGTAAAAAGGGGGGCATGAAATGAGAGAAATAAAACTTGGGGCATAGACTGAATTAGCTCAACAAGCAGTGACGTATCCTGATGTCAGAAGACATTCCCGCCCCACAACTAACAGCTGTCGGCTGCCACACAAGTTGTTTCCCATAGATGTTAAGTGTTATTCTAAAAAAGAATAAGGATTGGACTGCTTGAGTTCAGTAGGTGATCTTTTAAGATTTTATTTGATAGTATTAAAACACATGCAGGGAAATAACAAAGCAACAAAGGATTTCCTGATGCTGACCTCTTTTTAAACTTGCAGTGACTAAAATTCAAATATTACAACCGTCTGGAGAATGTCAAGCCCTCATTTTTGTTATTAGCTATTCTGTTTTGTGGCTTATAATTCGGAGAAAATGAGCTGTTTAACAATTTGGAGCTAAGTACTTTATGAAATATTACCTCCTTAATTAAATGACTGCTCATTATTACTAAAAGATAATCAGTCACTCCGAGGGCAGAAAGGGAATCCATTCCAAGACTTGGCTTTGCTCTCCACTTCATCCTCCCCTGCCTATTTTAAATCATCATATTCACCTCCAAATGACTCATAAAACAAAACCCTCTTTTACATGGAGATACTAATAAAATTTGATGTGATCATGTTCTCTTAAGTCCAACTGTTCACTGGATCCAGAGACATGCTTAGTTGCTTCTTTGTGGGAAAGAATTCAAAAATCTCTATAAAGATGACACCAGCACTGAAATAACTTGGGAAAATGTTATTATGATAGACAGAGAGAGGGAATCAGTTGAATGCCTGCCCAAGATGATGGGGCCTCTGGATCAGCATATGATGGTGTCTGGTATTAATCAATAGAAGGACCTCATGATTTTTATGCAACATGATTTGAACTTTTATACAGTTCATATTTGTCGGCAAAAAGGATACACAAATTTCTCAAGTGACCAAAGAGGTCTAAGCTAACATGTGGGTTCTATATGAGATTCTGAACGGGTGGGAAGATTCAGATTGTTAACAATGTATGTGGCAGAAGCTAGAAAGTCTCATTGCCAGTAGAGTGTGATTGGAGAATAATAGCTGAGTTTAACAACATAAGTACATGTGAACTTGAGATATTGTAACTTTCAGTTCTGAACATATATTATCACAAAGACTTAGAGGTCTGTCTCAGTGTAGACAGCATGGTAGTTAAGATTAACTGCTATAAAATTTCAGGGTGTGTTTTAATAGTGATGGAATAAAGAAAGACTGCTAGGCTATCCTCTTCCTTCTTCTCCATCTGACTTTTCTAAGAGAATTGGCTTCCGTGAACCTAAAAATCCCTTCAGCTACTGGAAAGTCAAGGAGTAGACTTGTATACAGGAGACAGCTCCCACAAGAAAGCAACAGGACTGTTTACTAAACTGGGCATTTCAAGATCCAAACAGCTACGTGAAAAGATCAAAGATATGCTAGATACTCTTTGTCTCTCATTTGTAGGGGTTATGTTTGGGGACAACATGGAAAATGCTGAGCTCCCTAAGGTTAAAGGTCTTTAAATCTCTTAGCTGGAGATACAGTAAAATGAGAGAAGACTCACCTAGCACATATGAGGTGCTGGGTCCAACGTTCAGCATTTACCAAAAGGAGTCCCGAGCGTAAGTATTCCACTCCCAATGCTGCTCCTACTTTGCTTGATTCCCAGATGGCTAGGTGGACTAAGTCACTGCCATTCTAAAACTACCCACACAAGTTCAATGATGCCTCAAGCAGATGATGCAATAGTTGTATTTGTTTTTGAACATCAATATAATTTTTAATTAACATGTTGTGGAAATACTTACAAAGTACAGTGGCCTTCAATAGCGTAGCGTAATGCCGTCCATCCAAAGACATCCTTGCAGAAGAAGTCAATGCCTTTCTGAAGAAGTAATGTAGCTATATCTTTTGATCCACATCGTATAGCATATATCAAGGTATTTCTAAAGTAGCAGAGGGATAGATTCACTATTATGAAATGAATTAAATTAGTTAAATCCATGTAGATCTGTCTTACCAACTTAGTATCTTGCCTGTCTGTGTAGACTTGGCAATTTTCTAACAGACATAGTATCATGGACCTACAACTGTTTCTCTTTGTGAGGCTATTTCCCAGGATAATGAAGGAAATATCTTTTCCCACTGATCTACTTTGGAATAGAATTCCTGACCTCATGACCTTTTAAAAAAATAACTATGCTAAGGTCTTGCATCAGAAATAGTTAAAGAAGAGTTCACATTTCCCTGGCCTAATGAAATATATTACAGTTCTTAATCAGCTGAAGATGAAATAATTCAAAGCTATGTGCATGATTTGAATAGTAGTAATATGAAAATAATAATAATAAAATTCATGGTGCTTTTAGTTAATGATGTTGACGACCGTGTGCTGTACACTAAACTAAGGGCTATGTAAATAATCCTATAACGTCCTATCAAGGGTGTTATTGACTGTTTCACATCAGGGGATATATTTGGCTATGAGCATCATTCTTAAGATGACATACCTAGCAACTGGGGAAACAAAGAATTAAATCCGGTCTTGAATGAACCTAAAGCCTCCTTTTTAAATTATTTACTTATGACTCATCTTCATTAAATTTTATCCAGTTAACACTTTCATCTCCCTTCCAATGCCAAGTAAATATAAATGGATTAAAATCATGGGGAGTAAAGGGGGACAAAATGAGCATTTTTGTAATTGTAATAACAATTAATAGTCACTTAAGATAACCTGACATCAATATTTTACAAAAAAATTAACAGTTTAAAGAGTAATTCCAAATACTATAATTTTCAACTCCTGTTTGGCTGAATATAGTATCTTAAAGTTTGCAAGAAGGAAATGCAAAAATACTATAAGATCTCTGAGACCTCATTACAGAAGCTTTCTTGTGCAGTGAACGATGGTTAATGCAGACACTTATAACTGGTCAAAGTGTAGAGAGTAAGTGAGGCCTCAGCCACAAATGGGATATCTATATCACATCCCTTCCTCCAGACTTGGGGACCATCAGGAAGAGGATGTAGGAAGGGTGTGAGAGCCAGAGGCTGGGGAGGAGTGGAACAAAGCAGTGTCTTTTGGACAGGGCAGGACTGCTATGCACATGGATTCACAGCAGCTGTGGCTGCCTACACAAGATCAAGCCAATCAGTATCAACCTTTTGCATGGGGAGGGGCTCAAGAGTCCCTACTCCTAGCTAACAAACTATTGACTGTTGATGGCTTCTAGGGGAGGGAGAGTCTGATATCTTTAAGGGTGTGGCTCCTGATATGTCCACCAAGCTCCGGTGGGAGGCACCACATCCAGAACTATATGAACAGCACAAACTGGAGTGGATACATTATTTTTTTAAACAAAAAGGACACCAAGTTGTGGTAGGAAGATAAGGGAATAGCAGGCAGAAGTTAAGGGGAACTGCTGGGGTGCGCATGATCAAAATACATCACTTTAAGTTCTCAAAGAGTTACTAAAATATTTTAAGCCGGGCAGTGGTGGTGCACGCCTTTAATCCCAGCACTTGGGAGGCAGAGCCAGGCGGATCTCTGTGAGTTCAAGGCCAGCCTGGGCTACCAAGTGAGTTCTAAGAAAAGGCACAAAGCTACACAGAGAAACCCTGTCTCGAAAAACCAAAAAAAAAATTTTAAATAAAATAAAAAGTAAATCTAAAAATAAAAAGAAAATATCATTAGATGATTAACAATCTTACTGTGAACCAAAAACTCATACGAAAAGTTCATACATTTTAAAAACAAATGAAACTTGTTTAGCTCATAAACTCCCAAGACCAAAGGACCAACAAAGTCAGATTATAAACAACAATCTTCAATCAGTGCTACAAGGCAATGTGATTGATTGATACATAGATAGATAGATAGATAGATAGATAGATAGATAGATAGATAGATAGATGATAGATAGATAGACATATACATACACACACACACACTCACACACACACACACACATATATATATATATATAATTTGCACTGCTCACTTCAAACAATTGCTTTTTTCTCTAACAGACTAAACTGATGCTTACATCTATCTATCTATGTTTTCACTGTATCCTTGTAAGTTAGTCCTCCAACCAGCCATGTTTCTAAGTTGAGTAGTTGTTACCAGTCCAGAATACCACTAATGTTCTATTTCTTTTTAATTCAAATGACTTTACCTTTGCATGTCATCTACAACATGTATATCTGCTCCTTTTTTTACTAAAAATTCTGCCACCTCTACCCTCTTTTCCCTGAGTGCCAGCAAAAGTGGTGTGAAGCCATCCTGCAAAACAGCAAAACCAATTTGTAATTTAAAAAGTGGCATGTTCTCAACTTACCTAAAAATCTTATAAAGGACTGTACAAATATAAATACACGATAAAAGCATAATATCCCAATGGATAAATGATCCTTCCTTCTAACAATGCTACCTTCCACTTGCTTTGCTCCCTTTCTTTGAAATACTCCTCTCCTGCCTAGAGTAGTCACATGAACCTAAGCCTCTCCAGTGCCCATTTCAAACCTACACTGTTGCCTCAAATATTTGTTTCTATTACAGCATTCATTATCTGAAGCCAAGTGGTTGCTCCTCATATGTACTAAGAGCTTCTTGGGGGAAAGGGCTACATCTTCTCGACATCAACAAACCAAAACCCATCACACAGTGGCAAAGGATGTTCACGAGCTAGCGAATCAATGACCAGATTTTCATTTCTACATCAGGATTGTAAAGTAAGTATACTTGGGTCTCAGACCACCTTCTGCATGGGGAGACAGGGCTTGTTGTCTGATATTTTGATCGTGTTCTGACAATGAAGTTTGCTGTGAATCAGAGAGCAGGGCTAACTACTAGCTGACCCAAATTAATCATAGAGGTTTTGGAGGACTGAGGACAGACAGACTGTAAGTAGTGGGGCAGGGCTTAGAGAGGATCTCTGCCCTTTTGGATGGAGGAACAGAAGAGATAGGAGGTCACTGATGGCTTCTCCACTGCTTTTCTGATCAATCGGGTTCTTACCCTGATATCTGACTCCTGATTTTTTATTGATAAAGAATAAATATATAAATGCATGAGGGCTTAATTATTTATGAGCAATATTAAGTTCAGGTTTTTGCAGAAATCTCCTGAAGCTTAACAGTGGGTTCAAGTCATGGAGGAAAACTCAGTGTAGGCAAGACCACTTTGAGCCCATATCACCTGTGCTTTCAGTGTTGCTGGGAGTGTGTTTTCCAGCGGGTGTATACAAAGCAAATATGTTTTAGAAAGATCAGCCTCCCAAAATGTAATTTTAAAAAAAAACTCATAATACTTAGTTCTTAGTTCTGCCCTTGATTATTTATACTTCACTTGTATTCAATTCTCCCAGTGTTCACAAAATAATTACTAGTCACATGGAAGCTGAAACTAAATGATTCCTGTGGACTTCATAATGTGTGTGTGTGTGTGTGTGTGTGTGTGTGTGTGTGTGTGTGTGTGTACATGTGTGTCTACACCTGCCAGACTGATGATGTTAGGGCTCCATCAATTGAACACCCTCACTGAGATCAGTTGCCAAGCAGACAACTGTTCTTCAAATGACAAGAAGATTCATGTTTTCCAATCTTCTAATAGAGGAAACCCTGCTTATAATTCACATTTTGGGATAACTGGGATAATGTAGTGGCATGAAACCTTTAAACAGATAGTCTCTGCTCACTAAATTTTTGAAGACCTTCTCAAAGTAGTGAATAACTATTGATGGCCAGAAGAAAAGTGGTTTATTCTGTAATCCAGTAGTCATTGCTGATAGTGATGGTTAGCTTTCATTGTCAACTTGACACAACTTAGAATCACCCAGGAAGAGGCTCTCAGTGAGGGAGTTCCACATTGAGTTGGCCTGTGTGCACATTTATAGCAGATTGTCTTAATTAGAGAGGAAAGACCTGACCTACTGTGGATGGCACCATTCCCTAGACAGAGGCTCCTGAACAGTATAAAAGTAAAAAACTCAAGCTTTGCACAAGCAAGCGAGTATTCATGCATTCATTCCTCTCTGCTGTTGATTATAGATGTTATGGGACCAGCTGACTCAAGCTTCTGGTGTGATGCCTCCCCAGAAATGATGGACCTAGAATTGTGAACTAAACTAAGTTGCTTTTCTGTCAGGCATTTTATCACAGCCATGGAAATGAAACCACTTGATAATACTCCATTTAGCTTCTCAACACAAAAGTAAAAGGAAAGTTAGGGTAAAATTACTGGAAAAGACACATTGGCAGGAAGTATTATCTAATCAAATTCCGGTTCCTCTAGAAATGTCAGGATTTTAGAACCCAGGAATACCTATATTTCAGTTATCTATTTAGGGTTTCTTTTCCAAATTAGGAGTTGTTCTGATTCCCAAGGAAATATTTTCAGAGATGCATGCCCATTACTTATTAGACATACTGAATCAAACTCCACACATCTGCAGCGTAGAATTAGAGCCACACAAACAGAATTTCAGTCTCATCTGTACGGACATGGATAATTCTCTTCATCATCCAGTTATTTGACTAACAAGAAGGACTCAACCACTAAAAACAGGCAATGTCTGCCGGGCGGTGGTGGCGCACGCCTTTAATCCCAGCACTCAGGAGGCAGAGCCAGGCGGATCTCTGTGAGTTTGAGGCCAGCCTGGGCTACCAAGTGAGTTCCAGGAAAGGTGCAAAGCTACACAGAGAAACCCTGTCTTGAAAAATAAAAAAAATATAAAAAAATTAAAAAAAAAAACAGGCAATGTGTTTGCTACTCAGAATGCAACAAAATTTTGATATACAAAAAAAAAAGCAAATTAAATATCTCCTCACCCAGCAAGCAACTGCAGACATGAGAACAGGGCTTAGTTTTTACCTAAGTGGGTGTCTCTTGCAGAACATATACTAGCGAACTGTTTGATCATCCCTCTAGTTTTCTACATAATTATCCCCTAGTCACTACCAGTTTTATTTCTCCAGCGTCCTCCTTAAACTGATCCCTAGACGTGTTTGTAATTAAATACTTTTCTTGCTCAAACTATGAATTACTACCTTCAACATGGAAAGACTGTATCAGCACACATTAACTGGCTTTTTTAATTCCTCTCGCTTTATCCCCTCGGGTACCTAATTTCCAGTTGAACATTTCTGATTCATTTCCCTCCGCACCTTTTCTTCAGTCTGAAGTCACTTGATAATTACTTGCCAAGAGCATCACAATTTCCAGTTGACGTGAGTGCTTTTGTTGTCTTTTTAAGTTTTAAGATGAAGCCATTTCCAAAGTAAATTTTGCTCTCTACTCAGGTGGCTTTACAAAAGTCAAGGGAAATGGTGAAGAAAAAGACACAGGTGAGGAAGTTTCACCTTTAACAAATTCAGTGGCTCCTCAAATATTTCACATTAAATGTGTAAAAGAAAGTTGTGCCTCGGGTTTCTTTCAGGGAGCTGGAGAATTGACTCAGTGGTTAAGAGCACTGGCTGCTCTTCCTGAGTTCAATTCCCAGCAACCACATGGTGGCTCACAACCATCTGCGGTGAGATCTGGCGCCCTCTTCTGGCAGACAGGCATATGTACAGGCAGAACTGTGTGTGTGTGTGTGTGTGTGTGTGTGTGTGTGTGTGTGTGTGTGTGTGTGTGTGTGTGTAATTTTTTTTAAAATAAAAGACCAACAAATGTTTCTTTAGAAGTATGTATGTTGGACTCACAGCTTCTACAGTTAAGTCCTGTCCAACTGTTTTCACCCAGGAAATGCTTAGGTTTCTAAACATGAAATGTTGACCTTTGTCACTATCAAAACATGTATTTCAAAGACTTTGAAATTAAAACGCGGTGAACTGTACTTTGGTTTTTTGCTCGATATCAGCATGGTAGTCGAGCAGGAGTGCCGCCATCTCTTCGTGCCCGTTGTACACAGCGTAGTGCAAGGCGCTGTTACCACTGTTGTCCCGGATGTTCGGATCAGCACCGTGCTCCAGCAGGATAGCCGCACATTTCTGTTTCCAGCATTGGACAGACTGCAGTTCACAACAAAAAGCAGACTGTCAGCTCGAGGCATTCGAGATAAACATCCCACAGGTTTCATCGGCAAGCTACATGTAAATGGAGGTAGCGCTCTTCCCATCACGTCTAGCTCGTGCTGAAATTCATGGCTGCGACCTACCTTCATCAGAGGTGTGATGTGGTTCTTGTCGAAGGCATCAATCTCACAATTATTATTCACCAGAACGTTCACCACTGGCAGCCGGCCATAGACACAGGCAAAATGCAGAGCTGTCCTGTGGAAGTGAGAGGAGGTTTTGTGGCATTATAGAGCCCTGTCTGAAAATCCACAATTACTCATGCAATTATAACATTAAATACCCTGTCGTTTTCCTGCCTTCTAAACAAATCTTCACTGTTCTTAGAAAAGGATAAGATTCTCTATTCTTAAAGAAAGGGTAACCTATTTGAAGTCCTTTATGTGAGCCATGGATAGATCATGTGACCTCCTTACCTAGAGAAGCGTTCTGCCATTGAGTGGCTCATTTGAATCAGCCCAGAGCAGCTTATTTGAACAAAAAAAAAAGCATGGCTGGAGACAAAATGAACTCAGTGGTATTTTTGTAAACTTTTTTCTCATTTTCCTTTGCTTGCAAAAAAAAAAAAAAAAGTTGTATTATTGGTGTTCTGCTAGTATATTTTGGTTTCCATTTTTGTGTTTTTATGGGGCTCTTTTTGTGTGTTTCTTGGGGTTTGGATGGGTTGTTTTTTCAGGTTTTTTTTTAACTTGGTTTTTTTTTTTTTTTTTTTTCAAAAAAGAAAATGAAAAGCATTACCTTTGAACTAAATTCCCCTTGGGTGTGACCCTACTCTGAGCTAAGTGGCTTACTAGGTACCTCTCAGCCTTCCTAGGCCTCAATCTCCTGATCCACCGCATTAGAAACACAAAGGGTATCGAGGTGACTCTCTTAGGAACCTTGCACCCAGCCCTTGACTGACCCTTCCTATTTGGGGTATGTAGTGTCCTCTGTTAATTCCTGCATTTACATCTGTTTAACTTTGTAATGAACTCCAGCTCTGCTTCACAAACAGATGGCAGGGCACAGGACACTGTCGTGAGAAGTCCCCTGAGAGGTGGTGGGAAGGAGGAGGAACCGACAAGAGGGTGTGGAGGAGGGACAGGAAGGGAAAGGGAGAGGAGGGAAGGGGGAGGAGGGAAAGGGGGAGGAGGGAAGGGGGAGGAGGGAAAGGGGGAGGACAGAGAAGGAACCTTTTCTTAACACGGCACCAAAGATCCGCGTGTATGCTGTGACGCGCTTCACTTCACCCCCAGACCCCACCCAATACTAGGTCTCTGTGAAAAACACGACTCTCCAGCCACAGCGACCTCGGTACTTTGGCTTTTGATGACAGCAGACACAATGGGCAGAGAGCTCTAGTTTTACCAGCTCTGTTGGACTAATCAGGAGGAGACTGAGAAGCAGTTAAAAGTTCCTGTCTGGCAGCTCAAGACTCCTCCCAGGTATGCAGGTGGGAGCCCCAAAAGCACAGGCAGACCCCCTTCCCTCACTGCCCACCGGAGCTCCCCTGGAAGCCAGGGAGGAAAACAGCTGACCTGCCCACGAGGTAGACAGTTGCCCGGCCTCCCTCCCCCTGTTACCTGTTCTTGTAGTCTCGGTCGTACACGCTGCACTTTCCAAGCGTGATGAGAATTTCCAACTGGCCCGCATCGCCCTCGGCTGCAACCCTGTGGATCTGCCCCACGGGCCGGTATGTTGTATGGTATTTTGGATAGCTGGGATATTCACCAAAGAAAAACTCAGAGACAGTCATTTGTGGGCCATCACAGAAACCGAAGGGTGTCTTTTCCTTAACCCCAAAGATCTTCCTCACGGCAGAAGCCATTGGCCTCAGGTTCCTTCCCAACTTCTCATCATTTCTGTCCTTCAGCCCAATATTAGGTCTTAGTAAAATCCAAGACTCGCCAGCGACATTTGCACAGAGGAACTCCGGGGCTTAAACGTCTGCCAACCAGGGCCTTGTACAGTTGGCAGAAGCACGGTTGCCAAGCAACACGTCTAAACACAATGCGCACGTGCTAGTTTGTACAAGTGAGCAAGAGTGCAACTCTTGACACGGGTGGCATCTCTGAGCCAATGGTAAAGGTGCTGAGTAGGCATGCGCAAGGCCCTGCCGGGAAGCAAACCCACGGTCCAAAGGTCAATAGAGTTTGAATTGAGTGTTTACATCATTTCAGACTTGTACCAGCAGGAAAGCAATCTTTGCAAATATTTCGTTGAAAACGGGGCAACGTAAGGATGGTGAAGACATAGTTGCCACACTATATGTATATATATATATATATATATATATATATATATATATATATATATATATATATATATATATGATCTGCATCTCTTTATCCCTTAGTTGATTCTCCTTATCTTTTAACTGGACTCTGCCAACCTCCACAATCTATCAGTTGCTTGCCTCTCTGCTGCTGTGATAAAACATTGGCTAAAGGAACATGGGACAGACAAGATTTATTTGTCTTATGGGTTATAGCTCATCATCGAGAGAAGCCAAGGCAAGAACTGAGTCAGAGACCACAGTGACATACTGCCCACTGGATTGCTTCCTCCAGCTTGCTTCCCTTCTCCTACTGCCTAGGCCCACCTACCTAGGGAACTCACCATCCACAGTGGTCTGGACCCTCCCACATCAATCAGCAATCCAGGAAGTGCTCAGTGCCCCCACAGACCAGTCTGACAGAGGAAGTTCTTCAGCTGAGATTCCCTCTTCCCAGGGACGTCTAGGTTTGTGTCAAGTTGACAGAAAGCTAGCTAGGACATGAAGTCACCCTCTGGTGACTTCATCATTTCAGAGATGGTTCATCATCAAATGAAAACTTTTGAGAAGAAACCAGTAGACAGCTTTCAAATGAAATGAAAATGTATCCATGCATCCTTCTGTCTCTACCCTCTGATCCGCCTTACTTCATGTTCTCTTGATTTGCATTTCCCCTACACATCTGCAACGAGTGAAGGATTAATTGGCACTCTAAGGTGCGATTTAGAACCCTTGCTTTTGAAAACTTACATGTTACGGGTTAAAATGGGGTGTTAGTGGCTCTCCAGGTACCAGCATCCCAGGCACTGGCGGAGCCTTACGACCCTGCACCCCCTCCCTTTCTCGTCATCATTGTTGGAGTCTTCATAGCCATAGTCTTCCTCCTTTCTCTTCCCCTCTTGCTCTTTTCTCCTCCCTGGCTCACCTCCTTCCTCCTTCAGCAGTCGCTAGGCTTCCCAGCAGCAGCCACTAGCAACAACTTCACATGCTGAACTCTTCAGACTTAACTCCTGGAAGGTATATCCTCACTCCACCCTTTCTATTTTATCTCTTATCTTGTCTAGTCCTTCCCCTCCAGGTCGCCCCAAGAGTCCCGACTGCATCCATCCCCTATTCAGTTGACCTCTGCCCATATTGTGTTCATTCCCACTAGAGCCCAAGCCTCCAGGAACTCCAGAGACCATGGTGCAGGACCAAGGGAGCCCCTGTGCCCAGGAAAGGCCGAAGTAGGTAAGCATTTCCTCGCCCAGACCCATGCCAAGGGATAGGAAGGATAAAAGATATGAAGAAGAGTATCAAAGCTGAGAACACCTTCCAAGAGAGGCTAGCTTTCAAAGCAGGATGATCTCTAGACCCTCTTCAGTGCTCTCTCTCTCT